GTGAACTTGAATTATTTTTAAAAATTTTTCGCAATTCAATGATTTTCAATATCTACTATTTTCATAAAATTTCCAAACAGAATTCAATTGTTAAAAAAAAATTTTATAAAAATCTTCGTAAGAATTCCATTCTTTTCATGAGTAATAAAAATTTCTCAGAAATTTCATTATTTAAATTAGAATTTGCATAAAATTAGTCAAAAGAAATTAATTTATTAAAAATTTTTTATAAAATTCTTCGCAAGAATTAAATTATTTAAAAATTTTTATAAAATTCTACGCAAGAATTAAATTATTTAAAAATTTTTATAAAATTCTACGCAAGAATTAAATTATTTTCATAAATATTTAAATTCTTTCATGAATAATAAAATTTGTTGCAGAAATTCAATTTATTAGCGGGACATAGAAAGAAGTAAATATTTTTGATAAAAATTAGGAAAGTGTCAGAAAAATAAAAAATATGAAATGGAATTTTTGTCATTTTTGTAAAGTGTCTAAAACGAGTTTTTTTGGTCGTCAAGTTTAATTTTTCAATATACATTTTTCTCCTTTTTTTATTTTAAAAGATACTTATTTTTGCTACTATTTTAAATTTAATTATCGATTACGAAATCTAAAATTAGGAAAGTTTACTAGTAAATAATAATTTCTACTAATTTATTAAGGGGGGGGTATAGTTAATTCGGTGAAAAAAACGCATGTTTTTAAGAATTTTTTTTGGCGATACGCAGAAAGTTAATTTATTTTATCGCTTTGCATATAATACTGCAACATTTGAACAATATTTTTCTAAATTTTAATTTAAAAATATTAAGAACTGAGCAAGATTCTAACATTTTTCTCAGGTGCCTCCAAAAATTTGCGGTGTTCACTCTAACTCGCAACAGAATCATCCAAAACAAAAAAATCAAAGTGCATTTGTTAAAGGAGATGTTTTTTGAGGTAACATCGGAAGCCATTATTTTTTTATTAAAAAATTACCAATTTTACAATAACAAATTAATCGATTTTTTACAGTGAAAATCGACTTTTTGGCTTTCAAGTGCTACGGAAAATCGAAAAGTAAAAAAACAAAAAAATCCCTTCCGATAATACCTCAAAAAACATCTCCTTTAACAAATGCATTTTGATTTTTTTGTTTTGGATGATTCTGTTGCGAGTTAGAGTGTACACCGCAAATCATTTTTTTTTTTGACGCGGCTGAGAAAAATCTCATTATCTCGCTCAATTTTTAATATTTTTAAATCAAAATTTAAAAAAATATTGTTCAAATGTTACAATGTTATATGCAAAGTGATAAAATAAATTAACTTTCTGCGTATCGCTAAAAAAAATTCTAAAAAACATGCGTTTTTTTCACCGAATTAACTATACCCCCCCCCCTTAATAAAATTTACCAATTCAAAAGCAAAAAGGTAAATTAATATATAAACATTTTATTTACTAATTCAAATTTAGAGTGTAAGTTGAAATATTTACATTTATTAAAAATAAAGTAAATAAAAAATTAGTGACAATGATATATTTAAAATAATATTTTTGTTTCAACTATATATTATGTTTGGTCCAAACAAAACATTTCCCTGGTCGCGTAAAATCCGATCGAGACGAAAAGGCATTTTTTATTCACTGAGAGAATTTGCAAAAAATCGATTTTCCTTTTTCTTCTTCTTCTTCTTTTTTTTTTAAAGCCAAGCAAGTGTAAAGCACCCTTGCAAGACTCGTTTGATAAAGTTTTGAGGGTTGAAAACGTCGTTTCTCGAGACACAAGCGACAAAAAGCGTATATGTATCGCGGCTGTCATGCGTAAAACAAAGTGCCAGCATTGTTGAGAAAATTGCCTCTGCAATCTTCAAGCTTCCTCTCACGACATTCTCGTCTCCAACCTTTATATTATACATATATATGTTGGTCAAAGTGAGCGTTATCTGACCGTCGTCGTCGACGTCGACGGTGGCGGCGACGTTGGAACGAGAACAACCCCAATCTTTAAAATCTTATTTGAAATTGATGCGACGTCTGAACTCATCAGATAATTCTCGGCTATAGCACCAAGTTTTCTTTTTTTTCTTCTTTTATTTCCTTTTTTCTTTCTTCTTCAAACCTAATCATCAATTTGTAAATTAGTTTTTGTTACTATTTTAATTACTATTTTATTTATTATTTTACTTCTTTTTTATTACTATTTTACTTATTATTTTACTTCTTTTTTGATACTATTTTATTTATTATTTTACTTCTTTTTTATTACTATTTTACTTATTTTTTGTTAATATTTTACTTATTTTTTTTGTTAATATTTTTGTTACTATTAGTTTTTATATATACCCAGTAAAAAAAAACTAATTCAAATGAATTGAAACGAATTAACATTTTTGGTAGGCTCCAATTCGTATTTGTCACAAAGCGGGATTCACTCAAGCTCTTTGTATATTCAATTGAATTTAATTCAATATGTACCAATTTGTCCAAACGAATTCGCATTCGAAAGAAATGGCCAAGGAATGCATTGAATTCGTGCTAACGAATTGAAAAAAATTAAAGGCTCAAAACTTGTCCAGTGAATTGGTACCGATAGAAGGTTCGGAAGTTCAATACAGTTTCACGAATTCAGGAAAATTGCATCATGGCTCCAATTCGTATTTGTCACAAAGCGGGATTCACGAAAGCTCTTTGTGAATTCTTTTTAATTCATTTCAATTAGTTTTCGTTTACTGGGTAGTCAATGTCAATTATTTATTTCTCATTTATTATAGCACTCACGTGTGACGCGTTCTGACGAAAGAAAAAAAAGGAAAAAACAAAGAAGAAAGAGCAAAAGAAGCAAAAATATTTAGGTTAAGTTTATGATTTTTCGAATAAAAATGCAGAAAGAGAAATAATTACTATTACAAATTATTAATTTTCGAGTCTTCATAAGATCTAAAATATTCTTTAAAAATTGGTTTCAAATTTACATAGGTACTTTAAAATAGAACTTTTAATGAAGATCAGATCTCTCTGAACGCAAACATAACCTATAATTCGCTTGCTTCTTAGGTATAACTACCTTAATCAATTGCGATTCAATTTTGATGTTTAATAGCATAGAAAATGATTTAATTAATTAAAACGTTTTTCTTTTATTATAAAAACAAAATGAAATTCTTAATTAAATTCAATTTTAGCTTTTGATGTTTTATTAATAATTACATTCATTATTAAATATTTTACACAGAAAAAGAATTTATTTTCTTAAAATAACCGTTTATTATTAAAAATTAAATATTTACTTGAATAGCAAATAAATTTACTTGAATCTAATAAATTTACTCGAATCAAATAAGTATTAACTTTAATTAAATAAACATTTAATTGAATCAACTAAGTATTTACTTAAAACAAATAAATTGTATTCGAATTAATAATTTCACAAATATTTTTTTTTGAAATTTTTATTTAAAAACTAAACGTAATATTTTCAATACAAAAGTTTATAAAAATTTGCTTAGAAAAATATGTTTTTCTTCTAAAATTGTTATGATTAATTAAAAACGTTGTGAACTTCACCAACGTGACAATTCGTTTTTAAATTTAATTTCCAAATAAGATTAATTGATTTTATAATTATTTATTTAAAAGTTTTATTTTCAATAGATAATCAATTTCAATTAATAAATTTCACATTTTCGATGTTAATTTCATTTTTAGATTTCTCTTTAAGTTTAAATTTTCTTTTTACATTTATTATTTATTTTAAATTTAAAATGAAGAGAGAATTTTATTTGAGGAAAATTGTTATTAAGATGAAAATTATTCTTATTTTTAAATTAAGGAAATTTTATTAAAAATCTGAAGTTGATTTATTTCTATAAAATGACCTATAAAATGGTTTTTAATTAAAAATAATGAGAAAATTTTATTTTAAGAAAATTTTTTATTGAGAGAAAAATTATTATTTAAAAAAAAAAATTTATTATTTAATTAAAATAATAATTTTATTTAATATCTAACATTGATTTATTGCTAAAATATGGTCTTAAAATGGTTTTAAATTAAAAATAAAAAGAAAAAATTTCATTATTTAGGAAAATTGTTATTAAGAAGAAAATTAAAATTATTATTAAATTAAGGAAATTTTATTAAGAATCTGAAGTTGATTTATTCCTAAAATTAACTTAAAATAGTTTCAAATTAAAAATAATAAGAGAATTTTATTTTAAGAAAATTGTTATTGAGAGGAAAATTATTAATATTATTTAATTAAAATAATAATTTTATTTAATATTTGAAAAATGATTTATTGCTAAAATATGATCTCAAAATGATTTTAAATTAAAAATAAAGGGAGATTTTTATTTTGAAAAATTGTTATTAAGAAAAAAATTACTATTATTAATTTATTATTATTAAATTAAAAACTATTATTAAATAACAAAATGTACCTGACATTCCACTGAAAAAAAATTTATTTGTTTCATTGTTGTTTATTTGTTTTATTTTATTTGTATAAAATATTTACTTGAATCAACTAATTTTTATTTCAGTCAATTAAATTGTAGATATTTGCTTCAAATGTACTGAAATTATTGATTCAAATATACAATTTAATTGACTCAAATAAAAATTATTTGATTCAAGTAAATATTTATTTGACAATAGACAAGTAATCGGTTATTTGCATCAAATTAATATTTTTTAATATAATAATAATATATATATAAATTTTTTTTATATAAATAATAATATATAATAATAATAATATTTAATATTATTTTTAATATTAATTATATTAATATTTTTTTAATAGTTTTAAATTTAGCGCTGTTCGGACTGAAATTCAATGATAAAAAAGAAACACCGGAAACTTTCTTTTGATTGGTCGTTGCTAGGCAACTTGATAGACGCTGAGAAAAAATTCCCACCAATCACTTTTCGTTTCAAGTTAATGTGAATCCAGTTCCACTCGTTCCCTAGTGTTCATAATTTGACACTCACGTTGTTTGATCCATTTCTTTTCTAATATTTATTTCATGCTCAACGTCAAAGGGTTTACTGGGTTTACTTACGTAGTCTGTTGTTTTGCGTTATAAAATTAAAGTGGTCAAAATAATTGTTATTTTTGCCTGAAAATGGCAGGATTTACAGAAAGTGCTTTAGTGAAAAAGTTAGTGGACCTTAATGCATCACAACAAAGTATACAGACTTTATCTCTTTGGTTAATCCATCACAGAAAGCATCACCCGGTTATAGTGAAAGTTTGGTTTAAAGAAATGTGTAAAGGTATGTTTTTATTTATGTATTATAAATAAAAGAAATTCTTCTCCATTCACTGGAACTTTTGTTTCTCATTATTTATTTTTTCACCATTATTGCAAAGTTTTGTAAAAATTATAATCTTTCTACCTAACCTAAATTTTGAAGGTTAGTTCCTGGTCTACTTTCCTTGAAAATCAGCAATTTGTCTTTCTTTTTATTATCTCTGCTTTCTTAATCTGATAAATTTCGTTATTGAATATCTGTTTAGAAGAAACATTTTTTTCTATTTCTGCTTTATCTCATGTCTTTCCTTTTTTTCTCTTATGTCTCTTTATTTAATTCGTGTTCATATGGTAGACCAGTGAACAATAAAGAACTTTGACAATTTGATAATTATAATTACTAATTACTAATTTTAGTTAAATTCTCCTATCAATGTTCGAAACTATTTTGAATCGTTTTTTCTTTTTTTTCAGTTAAGGATAGTCGTAAATTAATGTTCATGTATTTGGCGAACGATGTCATACAGAATAGTAAGAAAAAGGGACCAGAATTTGGTAAAGAGTTTGGATTAATGTTACCAAAAGCCTTCGAACATATGAAAGGATTCGACGACAAAACGAGAGACAGACTGAATAGACTTCTTCAAATTTGGGAGGAGAGAGGAGTTTACGATAAAAGTCAAATACATGAATTTAAAACAGCTTTCAATTCGGCGATTGATAATAAAAAGGAACCTGGCACTCCGCCTTTAAAGAAGAAAAAATTGGACGTTGAGAAGACAAAAGTTTCGGCAAAGGTTTTTAATAATTAATTATAATTTTGTTTATTATTTTTCCTTTGTCCTTTATTTTGTTTACTTTTTTTTCTTATTTTTTTTTATTTTACTTACTTTTTTCTGTTACTCTACTTGTTTCACTATTTTTCTATTTTACTTTCTTTTTTGTTACTTTTTGTTTTATTATTTTTTCAATTTTACTTTATTTTTTTATTTTTCTATTTTATTTTTAATCGATTAAAAGAATATTAAAAAATCTATTTTTTATTTATATGTTTTCATTTTACTTTCCTGCTTTTGTTACATTATTCGTTTTATTATTATTATTTGGTTGTCGAAAATTCTAATTGGTTTTAATTTGCAGAAAGAGAAAAAGGAGAGGAAAAAATCGGAGACAGAAATTGAAGTTGACGGCACCAAAGAATTACACGTTACTTTAAGTCCAAGAACACCAGGAGGCGATCCACCGGACACAGAAGAACTTATCAAGGCTTTAATGGTTCATATCAATTTTACAAATATCTTCCGAATTCGCAATTTTGTATTGATTCAAATAAATTACTCTTATTTTGAAATGGAAAATCTAAAACTATGAACGGCGACAGAAACCCTAGCTTTTTTTTCACAATCAGCTGTTAAATTCATTTCATTAACATTCAATTTCCAAAAATGTATGGGTTAAATTTTACTTTGAATATTTTGACAATTTTATTCAAAAATTTAAAAAAGCTGAAAATTGATCGAATTAATAAAGAATGTTAATTAGTATTTATTATTTAATAATATTAAATAGGTGTAGTTTTTCTTGGGTGTATTTTTTATCAATTCTATTAGAATATTAGATTAGTATTTTTTTCGAATTTTGAGGAAAAAGAAGAGTGCAATGATTATTGTTGCAGGATCTGGAAAATACGGCGTCGTCCGATGCGGGAGTTCGAGAAAGAATTGCTTCGTTACCTCCTGAAGTTTCAGAAGTTTCACTATTAGCCAATTTGGCTGACAGAGCAGCGGCCGATGAATTAAGTGTCGCCGTTAATGAAGCAGCCGCGCTTTTAGCGGATTATAACGGAAGGTTACAGGCCGAAATGGAAGACAGAAGAAGACTTCTTGCAATGCTCAAGGATTACACCCTGGCTCAGAAGCAATTACTGCAACAGGCGCAAACAACACTAGAAGTATACCTTCTTTTTATAATTTTATTATAATTATAATTTTATTCCGAGGCCACGATTATACCAGGCTTCGCACTCATTTACTACTTTATTTACGTTAATGCTACTATTTGGGTACTTTTTTTAGATATCAGCCACTGAAAGCTACTATTTTTTTTTCTTTTTTTTTTGAGAATTTCCACTTTTTTAAATTCACTACTACTTGATATCAAAAAATTATAATCAAATTCTTTAAAAATATTTTGTAAAAATCTTCCTAAGAATTCAATTACTTTCATGAATAAATAAAAATTTCTTAAGAATTCAATTATTTAAATTAGAATTTGCATAAATAATAAAAAAATATGGAATAGAATTTTTGTCATTTTTGTAAAGTGTCTAAAACGAGTTTTTTTGGTCGTCAAGTTTAATTTTTCGATAGCTACTTTTTTACTACTTTTTTTAGTTTAAAAGCTATATTTTGCTACTTTTTTAAAATTAATTATCGAGTGCGAAGTCTGTTAGACTTTTTTCGACTATTTTCCGAAGATATGCTTTAAAAATTATAATATTAATTGATTTTCTTTTGTTTTCAGGATTACAAAGAAAAATTAAAGAAAGTTTGTTCAGTGCGAGCGGAGGTAAAATCACACATTTCGAATCTTCCCGATTTAACGCAACTACCAGACGTCACCGGCGGTCTGGCACCTCTTCCTTCAGCTGGCGATTTATTCTCAATGCACTAGGCAAAAATGATTGAATTGAAAAACATGCTACTTTATTGGTTTGTTAAACCCCCCTCCCGCCCCCCTAAAGGTAAATATAAAAAAAGCGAAGAAAAGAATTATTTTTACCTTCATTGAAATACACGTCAGAATCAAAAATCTGAGCAAAGCGTAGAAAAAAAAGTAATAGTAAAACCACAATATAATTCTGTTAGTTTTTGTTATTACACTTCTATACACTGATTGACTGCAAAATTCCTTGTAGGCGTATACGAACAGAGAGTGTATGACTGAAATTAATTGGAAGTGTGCGATCCTTACAAAAAAAAACAATGTTTCATTATTGAAGAGAGAGAAAATTTTCAGTAGTGCATGCTTTTTTTTGTATAGTGTTTCTTACTCTGAAAAGATATTTATTTAATGTCACGATATTAAATTTTGTGACAAATAATTGAATTTCATTATATGTGAAAAAAAAGTTAATCTAGATGCAAATAAGTGAGTTTAAAAATAAGAAAATTATTTTTTTGAAAATTCCCCCCTTATAAGAAGAGAATTTTATTTTGTCGATGATGAAAAAAATATTTGTAGCGAGAATTTATTTAAGTTGTTAAAATTGAAAATAACACTTTGATTTTTAATAACCATTTGATCCTTGTTGGCAAAAATGTCGATCAAAAAAAGACTTCCATAGTATAAGTAAAAAAAAAGTTTTACAAAATTACTTATTACTTTTAGAAAAAGAAATCTTCTTCTAAATTCAGTATATTCAATTTAGCCAACAATTTTGAAACAAATCGCTTATTAATTAGCTTGACAAATATGTTGTCAAGCTGTGTATATACTTTTATATTAATATTATATATTTGAAGGAAAATTTTTTTTTAATCATGAACAATTTATATTATTGTATTGGAATTTTTTTTTTAATCATGAACAGGCGTTTAAAAAAACAGTAGAAGCATGAGGCCCAAAATATGTAAAAGAACAAATAAACCATGAGTCTGTTATAATTTTTAAATTGTAAACATTCTGAGAAAGTGATATGAATAAATGTTTTGCAACGTTACAATAAATGAAATTTTTATTCAACATTTCTTTTGCTCTCTTAGCTTTACATTTCTTGTCAAGAAAAAAATACTTAAAACTATTTCATTGACAATAATTTTTTTTTCTGTACATTTTTGAAATTTATTTACTAAGGACAGAATACGATTTTTAACGTATACTTTTGACTCATATTTCTTCTTCTTTAGGTTCGTTGAAGAAACAATTAATTGAAATAAATACTGTAATAATTAATTTAAATTTATAGTAAATTTTTTTTCGAACTACGGTCGCTAATATTATGCAATTTTTACAATGAGTATCGAAAAATAATTACAAGAAGAAAAATATTAATATCTGAACCCTTTTTTTTATAAACAATATTGTCTTTAAATGTTTAATTTTCTTGTCTCGTGGAGAAAATTAATTTTTTTCTTATGTCTCATGGGGATGAGGAGGTCTTGTCGGTTTTAGTATAAGTTTACCAGTGTCGTCACAACTCATATTGAAGTCACCCAGAACACTTCGTACTCTCTGGGTTATAATACTTGGAGCTATCACTCGTCTGTGCACGCCCAACATAAATAGAATTACTGAAATGATATAGAAAAAAGAATTTACAATCCATATTAAAAAAAAAAATTCCTTTTTATTAATTGCTTGTCAATTTTCGACATTGATCGTTGTGTCAGTTTTTCTTACCTAATATAACGCTAGCTATTGCAAAAAAAGGATGATTATATAGACTTTGCGTAAACGAGACTGCTGATGTGTTTGGATCGCTCAACCAGTGCCAAGCACCAACTGCAGTGCATATAGAAATAAAACCCAGCAATACTGCAAATTGAGATAAATATGTGAATATTGAAAAAAACGTCATCAAAGAGAAATTTAGACGAAAAAAAGATTAGATTTAAAAACAGATAAATAAAACAAAAGGCAGTTGTTCAATAGAACAAGTAAAAAAATTGAATCATACAAAAGGAAAAAAGAAGAAAATCAAGAAATTCAACAGAAGTTAAAAACAAAAATAACAAAGTTTACCTGCAGAAAGTAATAAACATTTCGACTTACTTCTCCATCGCAGAGTGGCTGGTTGTAAACTGGAAATAACTTCTGTGAGCCTCCTTTCAAACGCCTTCAAATCTATTTAGAAGAAAGTTTCCTATTATATACAAAACAGTAGAAATTTGCTTTACTTTTGTCGTACATTTATATTTTTGTCAAGTGAACATAACCTAAAAATCGAGTCTCGCACTTTTGATTCAAAAGACGGGTGGGTAAATTCTTTTTTCTCACGAAATTCATATTTACCTTCACACACTGTTTGATCTAGCGACATTTTTCATTTATTTTCTACTCTATATTTACAAGTTTACGTAAAAAATGCGAGGAACACTTTGGACCAAAACAATGATCTGTCAAAAAAAAAACAAGCAGAACACTTTTTATGCGCGAACCGGCTTATTTTGCGCATGACTTACACTTGCCGTGTTTATTGGTTGAATTAAAGTGTCCAGTTTGGCGCTTTTTCAACAGTGGAAAAGTTTATTGTTGTTGTGTTTTTAACGACAATTTCAATAAACAATGAAAGGAAAAGAAAAGTAACAAATGAAAGGAGCTAACAATGAGAAACGATTAGAAGTAGCAAATGTGGATGAAATGGACGAAAAGAAGTTAGAAGAATTTGAAAGGTAATTGTCGCAATAAATTGAAGATTTTTATCGAAAGTACTTATTTGCAGCAATTTTGGCACATTGCCTAAATATTGAAACAATGTGACCATTTACTAACAGTGATTCTTAATCATAGTCATCATAGTTTAAATGCTAATGATATTTTTTTCTATGCGTGCGATTTCAGGATTTCACCGAGATTTGTTCTTGTTGACAATTTGCCCTTTAAAAATGGCGAATATTTTCGGAAAAAGTAATTAAAAAGAAACGTGTTTCATCGATCTTATAAGGATGACCGTCAAAAATTGAACTTAAAAGGTCACTATCCCTTGGTTCATTCAGAGTCAATATTATCGACCCTGATAGTCTTTTATGGTTTAACAGAGGCGATTGTTTCTATGGTGACCCTCGATCGAAGACGGGCAAACTCTTTCGGCGCACAGGTAAATGAAACCTAAATACACATAGTCAGGTGTAGACTTTCTTAGCCAAGAGAGCGCAGTCTTAAATATTGACACAATCCACCATGAACTTCGTTCTTCCGCACCAGTCAATTCTTAACTTTCCGGAACTCTAAATTTTTTACCAAAAAAGAAAAATTTTACACACAGTTTTTTTAAAATTGATTTTTCAAAAATGTTCATAACACGTTACATTTATTATCAAATTTTGACTCGTTTAATTAAATTTCGTAGGAATTTTTGAGTTTGCGCTTTATTTTTTTTGTTACGTGTCCGAAGAGAATGATTGGAAAACCTTCTCTGGTGGATCAAAAGAAATTACAATGGGCTAAAGAAAGAGGTAAAAAATAAATTTTTAATTAATTAATTACCTAATTTTTTTTCTTTTCCTTTTTGGTTAATAAAGAAACTATAATTGTTCATTTATTGAAATATAGAAGAATTGGGAAGACTTGGCGGAAGTTGGGGTCCTATGAAATTTTCCGATTCGATTCGTTCAGCTGTACGGTGAGTAAAAAAAAAATATTTCTCTTTTTTTCAATAATGAATTTATTTCTTAATTATCTTTTTTTTTTGCAAGTTCGAGAATATGCCTGACGGAGTTAAATGGCAAGCATCAATTTCCTCTCCGCGAAGGCGCTCATTACGGAAGTACCATGAGTCTGAGAAGTTTGGCGTCTGACAATTCTGGAATTTGCACCTCAAGTATTCAAAATTTGGATTTCTCGAATGGTGGTGTCATTACTCTTCATGATAAAATTGAAAATCATCACACAGCGAGACGAAGGAGTCCCAGTTTGCCTCCGATTCATAACAATAAGGAACAATATCAACATTTTCTTCAGGTGATTTTTTTTTCTCAATCCCGAATTTTATTTGTATTCTTTTTATTTTTTGTATTCTTTTTCCTTTTTTGTATTTTTTTCTTATTATTTGTCTTCTTTTTCATTTTTTGTATTCTTCTTCCTTGTTTCGTATTTTTTTTCTTACTATTTGTATTTTTTTTTTCTTATTATTTGTATTCTTTTTCCTTTTTTTGTATTTTTTTTCTCATTATTTGTATTCTTTTTCTGTATCTCGAATTTGTTTTCTTTTTTAGGTTCGATCCCAATTTTTATTATTTGCATTAAGTGAATTAATGTGTCGAAAAAGGTGTTAAATATTTGAGGAGGAAACTTATATAAAGAAAAAAGACATTTATTCGAATTTGAAGAGCAATTATTCTACTTTTTTCGTTTATTATTCTCTTCAGAATAAAAGATTTATGGGCGTTTATTTTTATAGCCGAAAATCGGAATATTAAATATGAACAAGTCATAATTCTTACAAGTAGGGGGGAAAAAAGTAAAGTAACTTTTATTCATATAGTTGAGATCGATCCTTCTCAACCACAATGGTTCGTTGACCTATTCGTCTTAACGTGCGCCTCCACCTTGAGCAGTAGGTGATATTAATCACGAGTCGCCAGTTCATTAGGGTTTCAACATTAAAAATTCATTTCTACAAATTCGATCGTAGTTCAATATTTACCAGAAAATATTATTTTTGTCCTCTACTAATTTTCATCATAAATTGAACTGCGAAAATATTTAATTACACAAAAAAAAATACTGAAAGAAAATTTACCTAAAATTTGTAATTTCTAATTTTTATTTTGTAATTTTTATTTTTAATTTTTAATTTGTAACTTCTAACTTCTAATTTTTATTTTTTAATGTTAATTTTTAATTTTTTAATTTTTAATTTTTAATTTTTAACTATTAATTTTTAATTTGTGAAATATTTTTCGTTTTAGAACGAAATGATAACTTTAGCACATATAAGGAAGAAGCGTTTGATTTTTAGTAGCTCGTAAAATGAGGTGGTTTGCCATTCAGCAACAAAGTGGTACGATTATCGTGATAGAGGGAGATTTGGTTTGGTATAATTTTACTTCATTTGAATACCAAGTCGTGTCAGTTTTGAATATAAATTATATGTGTATATGTGACTATTTGAGTGTTTCTTGGTCACGCGACGTTCCATATATTTCTTGTAGGAACAAAGAGCTCTCGGTGTCGACGGGGTTCGTTATCAGCCGAAACCTCAGAAATACAATCATCATCATTCCACTGCTCGACACAATAATCCAAACGATTCCTGCTGCCATCCCTACGAGGAAAAAGAAGGCGAGACTTCCGGCTACGCCAGTGATTCCGTCGAGGCGACTGTCACTTCACTCCAAGGTACTTCTGCATTTATCAATTTTCTTTTTTTTTCACATTTTTTGTGTTTTATTTTTTATTTGCACAAACTTTATTTTTGTCTTTTTGCAAATTTTATTTTTCCTTGTGTTTTGATTTTTATACTGATTTGTAAATGATTTTTATAGATCCATTGATGTCTTGCAAGTCGTCGGACATTGTTAGCAATGAGAAAACTTGGCAGAATCCTTACTATACTGATGACAGTTCATTACCACCGTCGAGAAGAATTATTAGTATCAAGGGCAGTGAATTTAATCGCCAACGATGGGGAAGCATTTGGGGTCAGGATCCTCTGAAGGGAGATCCGCCTCCACCTTCCTGGTTGGAAAGAGGCCTCTCTCGTCTGGACCATTCTAGTCAGGTGAATTTTGCTATTTTTAAACATTTATATTACCAGTAAATAATTTATTGTATTCGTGACGCGCTCTAAAAAAAGGTAAAAACAGGGTTTTCACAGGTCAGGGAATTCAGGGAAATCAAGAAAAATTTAGGGATTTTTATTAAAATTGCTGGAAAAAATTAAATTTGCAGGATTCATAATTAATTTTATTTTATTTTTTGATATATAATATTTAATTAGTTATTAATAATCATGGATTTATAGAAGAATTTTCGTTAAAAACACTAAAAAATTGTATTTTAAAGAAGTTACAAATGTTAAAATCAATTTTGTTCAAAAATTTAAAAAAATTCCAGTCAAAATTTAATTATCTTTAAAGATAATAAAATTCTTCTCCAAAATTCAATTATTTTTATAAATAATAAACATTTCACAGGAATTCAACTATTTACAATAAAAATCATCATAGAATTTCAGTTATTTTTAATACAATTTAAACCGAATTCCTCGTGAAATGTAATTCTTATTGAAAATGTTATTAAAATTCGTCGAAAAAATTTGATTATTTAAAAATTTGTTGATTAAATTCTTTATAAGAATTCAATTTTGAAAAAAATTCATTTATTCAATTATTTTTCATTTTTGTATTTAAATAATTGAATTCTCATAGACTTTTCTAATAAAAATTGTTTTAAAAATTAATTTCAGATAAAAAGTTAAAAATAATTGATAGTTGTTCATTTATTTCTTTCGAAGAATTTTAATAAAATTCTTTTAATTAATTACATCTTTCGTAGAATTTACTTAAAATTGTATTAAAAATAATTAAAATCCTGAGAAGAATTTTATTATTTAGGAAAATAATTGAAGTCTTGCAACCAATTTTATTACATTTTTTTTAAATAATTGATCCTTCAATTCAATAATTTTCAGTATTCTACTATTTTAATAAAAATTTTCAAAAGAAATTCAATTTATTATTTTAAAAAAAGTGTTGATAAAATTCTAAGCAAAAATTAAATTACTTTCATAAATAATTAATATTTCACAGGAATTCAACTAATTACTATTTTTTTTTTATAAATTTCTTCGCAATAATTCAATTATTTGCATAAATAATAAAATTATTAATTATTATTTTTAATACAATTTTAATCAAATTCCTCGAAAAATGTAATTATTCCTGAAAATTTTATTAAAATCGTCAAAAAAATCCAATTATTTAAAAATTTAAATGCATTATAGTTTAAATTTTCAAAAATAATTGAATTTTGAAAAGGTTTTATATTTAAATCTTTGAAAATACATATGTAAAATTATTTTTAATAAAAAAATATAATTGAATTTTTTTTTTTGTTGAAATTATTTCAAGTTTTTTTCTCTCTAAATATTTATAATTGAAGAATTTCTAAATAATCGAAATTTTGTAAAATGGATTTGTAAACAAATGGATTTGAAAATTCTTAATGAACTTTTGCAAAAAAGTACTAAAAAAATTGATAATTGAATTCTTTCGAAGGATTTTAATAATATTTTTGAAAATAATTACATTTTTCGAAAAATTTACTTAAAATTGTATTAAAAATAATTGAAATCCTGTGAAGAATTTTATTATTTATAAAAATAATTGAATTCTTGCAATGAATTATATGAAATTTTATGCAAGTAATTGAAATCCTGTAAAGAGTAAAGAATTGTATTTCTTATAAAAATAATTGAATTCCTGCAACAAATTTTATGTATTTTTTTTAAACAATTGAATTCTTTTGAGAAATTTTATTAAAATAGTAGATTTTGAAAATATTTAAATGTCAGCGAAGAATTTTATTATTTGTGAAATGTAATTGAATTCTTGCAAAAAATGTTTGAAAATAATTACATTTTTCGAGGAACTCATTTAAAATTGTATTAAAAATAATTTAAATTTTAGGAAAAATTATATTATTTATGATAATAATTGAATTCTTACAACGAATTTTATTACATTTTTTAAAATAATTAAATTGATGTGAAATATTGTATTACTTATAAATATTTTCAAAATCTACTATTTTAATAAAATTTCTCAAAAGAATTCAATTATTTAAAAAAAAAATACATAAAATTTGTTGCAGGAATTCAATTATTTTTATATATAAGAAATACAATTCTTTACTCTTTACAGGATTTCAATTACTTGCAAAAAATTTCATATAATTCGTTGAAAAACCTTAAAATTATTTTCACCCTCCTGAGAAGTGTTTTATTTTCTGGTTTATCATTTTCGTTGACAGGTTTTGGTTATCAATCATGACAGTGCAAGCAGTCCTGACAGTTCAACGACGGGATCGACCGGCTCCAACAAAACTTACTTGCGAGGCCAAAATTTGCCAATCGATGCTAACGTTCTTCAAGAACGCGAGAGTCGGAGACAAAAGGCCGTTGAACTGCAAAATGCTATAAAACAGCAATTGGAGGAAAGAGAAAGACAACGACGATCTGAGAAGGAAAAAAAATTGAGAGAGGAACGAGAAGAGGAGGAAAGAATCAAAAAAGAATGGGACAAGGAAAAACAAAGGTCTGCTTTCCTCTTTTCTTCATTTTCCGAATTGATTCCTTATTTTTCAACAATTTGTGTCAATTTTGTCAATTCTGTTTCTCAATCTTTTCAATTGTGTTAATTTTGTCAATATTGACAATTTTATCAATTTTATCAATTTTGTCAATTGTGTTAATTGTGTCACTATTGTTTAGACTCGAGGAAGAGCAGAGGAGGCAAAAAGACAAGGAAACCGCGAAACTGAAGAAAGCCGAAGCCATGAGGGAAGTAATCGAAGCAGCAGAGCGCCTAGCGAAAGAAGAGAAAAAGCTCCGACGAAAACGTGATGTCAACGAAAATAGTGAATCAATTAAAAATTCATATGACTCCACAAAAGATCGTTTTCCAGAACGAGATTTATCCCGATTAGAGCAGATTGAATCCCAAGTAGAGAAGGATAGAAAAGAAATGAATAACCAAGGAGAAAACACCACAATGATAAAGGACATTGAACTCAATACTTCCGACGAATCCAGAGATATATCCAAAGATTCATCCAGAGAGAAATCCAATGATACATCCAGAGATAAATTCAATGATAAATTCAAAGATAAGTCTAAAGATATGAATTCAATTCGCATTCCAGTTAGCAAGGACGTGGCGATCGTTCTGAGCGGAAGACTCGACGATCCGGAACTTTTGAGTAAAGCAAATCTTCAAGTTGTCAATCTTGTCATGACACCATCGCCGAGGAAGAACGATGTCAATCAAATTTTGAGCGGATTAAACGCATTTGTCAATTGCAATTCGAACTACGTAACTTGTGCTAAAACGAAAGCTTCTCCCAGATTTGTGGAGAATCGACTACTAACACCGAGTAAATACAGAACACAAAATTCAAGAGACTATGGCACGCAGACTGACACTGAAAAAGAATTTCTCGATCTGCAGAGTAGAATACAAGAAATGGATATCAATTTCACGAAAGAGAGTAAAGAGGCCGCTAATAATAATCAACGAGATGTTGAAAAGTAAGTATTTTAGAGTTGCATTAAAGAATTAAAGAAGATTTACTAATAAATTAATACTAACAGGTCGACTGCCACCAGCGCCGCCGAGGAAATGACAGTAAAAACTTTACCCAGAGTTAAGAAGGAACCCCGGACGAGTCTCGCCTCACGACCACGATGGAATGCTAATCGGTAAATTATTTATCATTGAAATAAACTCGTCATTTACTTGAATAAATCTTCGGAACGGAATCAAGAATTTTTAAAGTGAAAACAGATCTTCTTAGTCCAGGTACAAGATATCGGACGCAAAGTGAAAAGGACCCTCACTATCAACGCCGTATGAGTATGAGACTCAGAAGACGTCGCACCGAAAGCAGCGACGAAGGTTCGAGGTAAAAAATGTCTTTAAATTATCGTTTACAGGCTTCGCACTCATCTACTAAAACCTACTATTTACTACTTTTTTACATTATGCTACTATTTGCGTACTTTTTTTTAATTTCAGCCACTAGAAGATACTATTTCTAATTTTTTTGAGAATTTCCACTATTTTAAATTCGCTAATACTAGAAATAAGAAAACTATTCTCAAAAATTATAATCAAATTCTTTAAAACGATTCAATTATTTTCAAAAAAATATTCAAAATTCAATGTATTTTCAATATCTAGTATTTTCATAAAATTTCGCAAAAGAATTCAATTATTTAAAAACAATTTTAATAAAATTGTACGCAAATATTTCATTATTTAAATAAAAAATAAAAATTTCACAGGAATTCACTAATAATAACATTTTTCACGGAACTTCAATTTTTAAAAAAAATGTTTGATAAAACTCTGAACAAAAATACAGATATTTTCATAAATAAGAAAATTCATCGAAGAATTTCAATTATTTTCAATACTATTTTCAATTAATTAATCGAAAAATTCAATTATTTTCATAAATAAAGTTTTCCACAAGAATTCAATTATTTAAAGTAAAATTTTCATAAAATTTATTATGTTTCGAAGAATCAATTATTTAAAACAATGTTTATAAAATTCTTATGAAGAATTCAATTACTTTCAAAAATAACAAAATTTTTCACAGAAATTCAATTATTTTTAAACTTTTCTATAAAATTTATCGCAATAACTCAATTATTTTCATAAATAATAAAATTCTTCTCAGAAATTCAATTATTTTTGAAAATTTTAATAAAATTCTTAGCAATTATTCAATTATTTTCATAAATAATAAAATTCTTCTCAGGATTTAAATTATTTTTAATACAATTTTAAGTAAATTCTTCGAAAGATGTAATTAATTTAAAAAATTTCATCAAAATTCTTCGAAAGAAATAAATGAACAATTATCAATTATTTTAAATTTTCTATATAAAATTCATTTTTAAAACAATTTTTATTAGAAAATTCGAGGAGAATTCAATTATTTGAATAAAGAAATGAAAAAATTATTAATTAAATGAATTTTTTTCAAAATTGAATTCTTCTAAAGAATTTTATCAAAAAATTTTTAAAAAATCGTATTTTTTCGAGGAATATTAATAAAATTTTCAAGAAGAATTACATTTCTCGAGGAATTCGATTTATTGTATTAAAAATAATTAAAATTCTATGATGAGTTTTATTATTCATGAAAATAATTGAATTTTTGTAAAAAAATTTATTATTTATGAAAATAATTGAATTATTGTGAAAAAATTTGTAAATTCTTCTAAGGAATTCAATTATTTTTAAACATTTTAATAAAATTGTTCGCAATAATTCAATTATTTTCATAAATAATAAAATTCTTCTAAGGAATTCAAATTATTTTTAAATATTTTAATAAAATTTTTCGCAATAATTCAATTATTTTCATAAATAATAAAATTCTTCTAAGAAATTCAATTATTTTTTAAAATTTTAATTAAATTCTTTGCAACTATTCAATTAATTTTATAAATTATAAAATTTATCGCAGAATTTCAATTATTTTTAACACAATTTTATAGAAATTGCTGAAAAAATGTAATTATTCTTAAAAATTTAATTTCAATTCCTTGAAAAAATTAATTATTTAAGAAAATGGTTGTTTAAAATTCTTTGCAAGAATTCAATTATTTACAAAAATATTAGAACTTTTCACAGGAATTCAATTATCTTCAAATATTTTTAAAAAATTGTTCGAAAGAAATCAATTATTTTAAATACAATTTTAATTAGACTTTTTTGAAATAATTCAATTATTCTTTTAGACTTTAATAAAATTCTTCCCATGAATTCAATTATTTACATAAATAACTCTTCGAAATATTTCATTTATGTCAATAAGTAACAAAATTATTCCCGGAAATTCAATTATTTTGAAGCATTTTCATAAATCTTTACAAAATTTAATTATTTTTATAAATAACAATATTAATCACAGGAATTCAACTATTTTTAAAAGTAATTTAAATTTTCTTGGAAATTCAATTATTTAAAAAAATTCTAATAAAATTCTTCGCAGGAATTAAATTATTTTTATAAATATTTAAATTCTTTCATGAATAATAAAATTCGTTGCAGGAATTGAATTTATTATCACGATAAGAAAGAAGTAAATATTCTTGATAAAAATTAGGGAAAAGTGATGAAAATAAAAAATATGGAATGTAATTTTTGTCAGTTTTGTGAAGTGTCTAAAACGAGTTTTTTTTTTGTCGTCAAGTTTAATTTTTCGATAGGTACTTTTTTACTACTTTTCTTAGTTTGAAAGCTACTTTTTGCTACTTTTTAAAATTAATTATCGAGTGTGAAGTCTGCGTTTAATGAAAAAGCAAAAATTCACACACTTCGAAAATATGTGAAGCATAACATATAAATTCTCAAAAAAAAAATTGTTTCAAAGATCGCCGTCGCCAGATCCAAGGAAAAATAACAATTCCAAACAGAAGACGAGAATTTTAACAAGACGTAAGGCAAAGTTGGATAGTTACGACGCTGATTTGTCGATGGATAGTCTCAACTCTACTATACCATTGCGTTTTGACGAAAACGGGAGAATCAATATTGTGGAGCATAGAAACGAGCATGGAAACATAAATAAGTATAGTCAATCTTCCAACTACCAGTCAAATTTTCTACAGGATAATGTGGACTCGAAAAATTGGTGCGGCCAAGAAATTCTCTCACATCTTTCCTCATTGAGAAACGTATGAAAATTATTTATCAAATACTATTTTAATATTTAAATCCCTCCGAGTAAACTCATCTGGAATCTGAATAATTCCTCTTTTCAATTTTCAACTACATTAATTTTATTATTATTTACTAATAGTATTAATAGTATTTTTACTAATAGTCACAACAACAAATTAATTATTTTCGTAAAAAAATTAAGATCAAAGTAAATGAGGAAGCAAAAATTAATTATTTTCGTAAAAAAATTAAGATTAATGTAAATGAGAAAGCAAAAATTAATTATTTTCGTAAAAAATTAAGATTAAATCGAATTAAACCAAACGTATAATAATCGTTACGTGAAATATTTGTTTCAGGGACTTTTGATAATGCAGAAGCAATCCTGTCCAGTGTCGCCAATAACCGAACTTTATTAAAAAATTAGAAGCCAAATATTTGATATTTTATTTTTGCGCAGCTTTATTCTAATTTTACTGTGTTAAATTTCTGTTGTTTTATGTGTTCCATTTGCATAATGAAATTATTGAAACAAAAATTTTACGATGAGTCAAAGGAAAATTTTAATCCAACGACATCAGTGCGGCGATGGGGGAAGTATCTGCGAACTCAGCGTGCCTGAAAAAGTGACAGACGTAAATAAAATAAAATGGCTTTTCAACTAGATGATTTATTGAAGGACGACAAAAAAGATGCAAATTTAATACCAGATTTAAGTAAAGCTACTTGCAACTCTCAAGAAGAATTTCGCAGACTCATGGAACGATGTCCTGAATATAAAATCAAAGCGGAAAAAGTAAATAGCGCAGGCATCATACAGTTGGTCCCCTTTTCCCCTTTTGTCTCCTTTTTCAATTTTGGCACTTTTTTCCCCTTTTTTGGTGATTTGTCCCCTTTTCACCTTTTTCTAATCAAAAGTAAAGAAGTTTTTCTTTTATTGATATCTTTTTCAAAGTATAATCGTAAATTTTTAAAGAACTTAGAGTTTTGAAAAAATTTTCATAATTTAAATTATTCTAAAATTATTTCTCCTTTTTAACTACATTAACTTTCGCCCGACTACGTTGGGTCTCTTCAAATGAGAATTATTTTAAAATTGGTCCCGTTTATTAATAAATAATAATAATAATAAAATTAGTTAAATTTTTTAATGTATATTTATATTTAATTAATTATTAAAACTAATGAATTGATATAGAAATTTTAGTTAAAAACACTAAAAATATTTTGATTTTAGAGACGTTTCAAATGATTGCAAAAATTCAATTATTTTCATAAATAATAAAATTCTTCTAAGGAATTCAATTATTTTTAAACATTTTAATAACATTTTTCACAGAAATTCAATTATTTTTAAACATTTTAATAAAATTTTTTGCAATAATTCAACTATTTTCATAAATAATAAAATTCTTTTTAGGAAATCAATTATTTTCAGAAATGATAAAACTCATCGCAGAATTTCAATTATTTTTAATACAATTTTATTCAAATTCCTGGAAAAATGTAATTATTCTTAAAAATTTTATTAAAATTCGTCAAAAGAATGCAATTATTTAAAAATTTGTTGATAAAATTCTTTATGAGAATAAAAGTTTAAGAAACAAATTATTCAATAAATTATTTATTTTTGTATTTAAATAATTGAATTCTCGTAGAGCTTTCTAATAGAAATTTATTTAAAAGTGAATTTCAGTTAAAATTTCACATTATAATTGAATATTAAAAGCATTATAGCATGAATTTTTGAGAATAATTGAATTTTTAAAAGATTTCAGATTAAAATCTTTAAAAATCGGAATTTTTCATACTTTTTAACTAAAAAAATTCTGTAGAAATAATTTTTTTTTTGAAAAAGTAATTGAATTTTGTTTTGAAATTATTTGAAGTTTTTATTTTCTAATGTATTTAATTGAAGAATTTCCGAATAATTGAAATTTTGTAAAATTGAATTGTAGACAAATGAATTTGAAAATTCTCAAAAAACTTGTTTATAGATGCTATATAATAAAAAATTTGAATTATATATGCAAGTTGTATAAACAAATAATTTTTTTGCCCCTTTTTGAAGAAAAAAATTCCCCTTTTTCACCTTTTTTGAGGATAAAAGGTGTTGATGCCTAATAGCGTCTAAATTTTTTTTTCTTTTTACGAATATTTTATTTCTCTTTTGTCAACCAAAATAGAGAACTTATCGTACCTATAATGTATTTTTTCTTTTCGACAGGTGAAGAAAGAAGACATTCGAGTGAGGGACAAGGATTTTTCATGGCGAGCGACGAAACGTGAATTAAAATCAATTGGAAAGGAATGGGGCTATGGAGATCCAATTCCTCCTGATATGAAATCATTGAATCTTCAAGAATTACAACAAGTTGCTATTGATTGGAGAATGCTGACTTCTGTTCGACCCAAACTCCGTCAAGACGAGGAAATGTTCTCCAAACTGGTATTTTTAAAAACCTTGTTCCTCTTCACTTTTTCGATTTTTTTGTTTCGTTAATTAGAAGAAATACAAAAATGTGACAGTCTACAGTAAAAGATATCTTTACTCAAAAAAAAATTTCAGATTATTTATGCAAATTTTTTGCAGGTGGAAATGGGAAAATTAGCAGTAAAAACATCGGCGAAAGAAAATCGTGCCCACATAACTCCAATAAGAAGAAATAAAAATAGAGCCGGCATTATTGAGAGTAGCGTGAAAATATGTGGCGAATGTGGTGAAGAATTTTGTTCCGGTGAATCGTGTGGTGATATTCTTTACGATTCATTTATCAGAGTCACTGTAACGCCACAACAATCAAAAATAACAGTTTCAGCCGATACTGCGGCAATAATTGCCGGAATGGACAGTAAATCCGGTGGTAAAAAGGGCAAAAAGAGTAAGAATAAAGGAACTGCGAAGCACACTGGTAATAATAATTCAAGGAAAAATGTCAAATTATTAATACGTCGAAGAGTTAGAAAACCGGCGAAAAGTCCACGTGAAGCGCACAATAAAACACGAAAAAATCAAATGACAAAACCAAATGACAAGGAGACTGAAGAGAGTGGTGTTAAAAAGTTCAAGAGAAAATGTAGCAAATATTCTAAAAAAGGAGGTCTATCACCAAAATAATTAGGTTTGTTTTGGAAATTTTATTTTCGTTAATATTTAATTATCGTTGTTTAATTATCGTTATATTCAATTATAGTTATATTCAATTATAATTCTATTCAATTATAATTTCATTCAATTATTATATTTAATTATAATTATATTCAATTATAGTTATGTTTAATGACAGTTATATTTAATTAGAGTTGATTATATTTAATCACAGTTAATTATATTGAATTCGTTAAATTCTATTATAATAATTTATATAAATTGCAGTATTATTAATAATTTGTTTTCTATTTTCTACATATAGTTGAACGATTTTGTACATATATATTATACCAGTATACTGTTTTTTACAATTTTATTTGTAATATATACCGTTTTGTTAAATATTTTACTGTTGAAGAAATGTGCAATCAAAATGTAAGGCAGTATTTATTAACATGTACAGTTGACAATATGAAAACATATTCCATGTTATGAACAATAAAATAATTGGAAAGCTTTTATTTAAAAGGAAATGTTACGTTATTCTTATTCATTTTTGGTTTCATTTTTAGTTCGAAAGTTTTTTTCTTTAAAAACCGTAAAAATCAGTTTTTTTGAAAAAAGGTTCGTAAAGTCCGTAATTTGACTGAGAAAAGACAAAAAGTTCGTAAATTGTACGATATAATTTGGAGAATTTTAAAGAAGTTACAAATGATTGCAGAAATTCAATTATTTTCAAAAGTAATAAAATTCTTCGCAGAAATCCGATTCTGTTGTGAAATTTTTAAAAATTCTCGTCAAAATTTCAATTATTTTTAGAAATAATTAAATTCTTCTCTAAAATTCAATTATTTTTTGAAATTTTAATAAAATTATTGACAAAATTTCAATTATTTTCAAAAATTTTCCTCAATTCAATGATTTTAAATATTTACAATTTTAATAAAATTTTCCAAAAGAATTCAATTATTTGAAAAAAAATTTAATAAAATTCTACGCAAACCTTTAATTATTTTCAAAAAATAATAAAAATTTCACAAGAATTCAATTATTTACAAATTTTTAAAAAAATTTCTTCCTAATCATTCAATTATTTTCATAAAAAATAAAATTTTTACAGGAATTCAATTATTTTCGTAAATAATAAAATTCTTTTTACGAATTCAATATTATTTTCATAAATAATAAAACTTATTGCAGAATTTTAATTATTTTTAAAACAATTTTAATCAAATTCCTCGAAAAATGTAATTATTTTTAAAACTTTTATTAAAACTCGTCGAAAGAAATCAATTATTTAAAAATTTGTTGATAAAATCCTTTATGAGAATTCCATTTTATGAAACATTCAATTATTCAATAAATTATTTTTGTATTTAAATAATTGAATTCTCGTAGAATTTTCTAATAAAAATTAATTTAAAAATTAATTTCAGTTAAAATTTCACATTATAATTGAATATTAAAAGCATTATAGCATGAATTTTTTAGAATAATTGAATTTTGAAAAGATTTCAAATTAAAATGTTTAAAAATCTGAATTTTTCATACTTTTAACTGAAAATTTTGTAGTAATAATTTTTTTTGAAACAGTAATTTTATTTTGTTTTGAAATTATTTGAAGTTTTTATTTTCTAATATATAAATATATTTAATTGAACAATTTCCGAATAATTTTAATTTTGTAAAATTGAATTATAAACAAATGAATTTGAAAATTTCCTAAGAACTTTTTCAAAAATTATTAGAAATAATACATTTATAGAAGAATTTTAGTTAAAAAGACGAAAAAAAATTTAATTTTAGAAAAATTACAAATTATTGCAGAAAATTCAATTATTTTCTAGACTAATAAATATTTTTCGCAAAAATTAACTATTGTTCAAAAATAATAACATGCTTTTTAGGGATTCAATTATTTTCACAAATAATAAAACTCATCGCAGAATTTCAATTATTTTTAATACAATAAATTTTAATCAAGTTCCTCGAAAAATGTAATTATTTAATTAAAAATTATTACTCGGAGTCATCGATATCTTCATGTTTTATAGTTATGAAAAATTTAATTTCTAGGTTAAAGTAAAATATATATATTAGTAATAAAAAATAAATAGATAAAAATAAAAATAGAAATGGTAAAAAAATAAAAATGGTAAATGAGTAAGAAAAGTCAGATATACTTTTGTAGAACATATTTCTTATTGAGGAATTATTTTGTACATTCGACCAAAAAATTGCATACAGGACACAAAAGAAAAAAAAATAGTTTTTTCATATCAGATTTTCCTTAACATATATTATCTAGCTAAAATTATGAATTCCTGGATGGAGTTTCTAAAAATTGCTACAACGACAATACATTTGAGTTATTTCGTACAGATATTGCGTTATTACACACAATTATATCGGACTTTTAAAAAGTTAACATATTTCTCTCCAACGGAAAAAAATTGATAACTTAGATTCAAACCTTAAAAACACAAAAATTCCCACTTAATATTATTATATTTCAATCCAACGTTCTTCTAGATTTTTTTTTATCTCTTCCAAGACTGATCAGAAGAGCGAAATTGCTTTTATTTTTCTGAGTCTAAACCAAAGTCTTATCTAGAAGAATTATGTACAATTGTAATGTTATATTCAAAATATCTTCTAACAAATGTACAACTTTATCATCATCATCATCATCATCATCATGTCTTTATACGAGCTATAACGCCGAGTAAAGATAATTTGTGTGTTATGATTATACACAGGGTATTCATATATATATAATAATAATAAGTATAATATACAATTACAATGAATATTTGTTAGTTACTTTTGTTTTTACGTTTTACAAAAATACAAGTACTACGTTCATTTTGTTTTTTTTTAATTTAAGCCTTAATTCAGGACAATTTGATGTTCAATAATATGTTGTCTTTTTTCATCTGGAAAATTTCTTTTCTTTAAGTACATTCCGAAAGAAATTATTTCAATTCTTGTGTTTTTGTATGTACGAACTATATAATTATACACAAGTCTGTTCAATCTGAACTACTTTGAGTCTTTTCTTTCATTTCTCAATTTTTTTTTTTTGGTCGTTTTCAATCCATTCAAAGGTGAAGCAATGTTCATACTCCAAGTATCTAATATAAATCACACAGGAATTTCTACTTGGACGATGTTTTTTTCTACTTTTGAATTATATATATTACTTTATCAAAATTAAAATATGCACCTTAAAACACGTAGAAAATGTGAAAATTGCTTCAACAAGCGACAGTCTATAACACTTGATAGGATATCGATCAGCAATTTCTTTTAATGTTCAAAATATGATTTTTATCTTATTGATTAATAAAATATTCTTCAAACATGCATTGAAAATAAAATTAAATGAAAACTGAGAATTAAAGTGTGAATTAAAGTCAAACGATGAAATGAAAATGAATTGAAAAATTTAAAATGAAATGTATAAATTGAAATGAAAATCTGATTTAGTGGACAGTGAATAGAATAAAAGTTTTTTTTTTTATTTTATAATCTCTGTCGATACCCCATTTCACATGACTTAGCGCAACCAATTTTGGCACATTGGCAAGAAACAACTGATGACAAAATTCATTACACAAAATAACAATACGAAAATGTACAATTTTGTTTTACACCGGGACATAATTTACCAAAATCTACACTTGCGATTAAATGTTCTATTCAATAGAACTAATCGACTGCATACTTGATTCTTGACATTATTCATTAATTATTATTAATACATTATTATAATATTAATTATCAATCATCAATATTAAATTAACATTAACTCAAAGTCTACTTCTAATTTCTCCATTTAATTATTTAATAAAAAAAAAATTTAATTTCCAATCAAGTCAGTCGATTAATTGAATTTAATACAATTTTTCAGTGTTGATTTTTTTTCCTACACAAAATAATTTTTGGAAACGTTTTTTTTTTAATGCACATCAAAATGTTTTGAACAAAAAAAAGTTCACGTAACAAAAAATTTTCAAACACTTTCTTTTCGAAAGAACGAACAAAATTAGACAATCACAAACGGATATTCAATAAAAAAAATTGATTTTCATTTACAAAAAACTGTTCTCTTCTCATTATTCAGGATGATAAGAATTTTTGAGAATCGTGATCTACTTGTCTTACTATTATTGTTACAAAATGCATTAATTAACTTGGTTGCAATTTTATTTGCAGAACAATGACTATTATCGATGCAAAAAATATTTGTCAATTTCAAAGACATAAACATGATTACTATCACAAACATTTCTTTCTTTTTTTTTTAATCAAAAATTTAAAGGAATAGAAAAAATAGTGCTTTATTAAAAATTTGAAATTCTTTCTTTTCTTAGAAAAAGATCAAAAAAATAACGTCTTGTAGAAATTGAAGAGAAAAAGACGTATTTAGAGAATATCAAAATTCTCAAAAGTTCTTATTTTTTTTCTTTCGCAATTTTCATTTTCACTTTTTTTCATTTTTTAAAAATAAACCACAGCACTTCTTATATTCAACAGGGGACGCTATAGATTGCCAAAGAAGAAAAATTCTTTTTTTGACTATCCTGTTGTTCGACATACATATTCGATGAACATCAGAAATACACTATATTTATAAAGTTTCGACTTTTTCAATTAAGTCCAACAGACACATTCAAGTTTGATTAAAGTTTTGCAAATATTACACTCGATTGTTCGTAGTTTCAACGTTCATTATTGATTGCACATACACATACATCAAAATATTTTAGAGAAAAAAAAAAGATTTTTATGATATATAGAAAATCCTGACATACATTTTTTCTCACTCAAAGCAAAAAATTTCTCAAAATTCTGTTCCCTAGTTACTTATTTGGAAGTCAGGATTTTTCAGAGAGCGATACACAAGTTTATTTATTAGTTTTTGAGTTAAAAAAAATTCTTTTCCCACACATTTCCTTTCTTTAAAAGAACTTAATGTATTTAAACAGAAAAAGAAGTTGAGCAAAGTTGCTGATTTTTTTTTTTTAAATTTATCCTTCCTTACAAAAAATAGAACAAATCTAGGAAAATATTTTTATTCTATTAAAATCATTCAGACATATTTCGATTCTTGGATCACATTCAATTATCAATTAAATTAGTTAACTTTGCAAAAAAAAGTAACTTTTGTTCTTTAATAAATTTAAACTACACCCAAGATTGACAAAAAAAAGTGTAAAGAATCTTTAAAGTTTAAATGATTATTGTTATTACTTGAAAAAAAAACCAGGAATTTAATCTACTAAATTATGAACTTTTAAAACTTTTTTTTCTTTCAACTTATGTAAAGTAAATTATGTGTATAATATTGTAACACGCTATCATTAATTATTTCTATATGTAAACTTGTGACTTATCCCCCACGTATTTTATATATAAGGCAGCATGAAGTTTATACAGCAATAAGTCAATGACAATAAAGAAAGAAATTTGACTTTTTTTTTTCTTGCGATTGTGATGCAGTACAACTTATACTTTCTAAATGGATCTTTGAGTTCGATCCTTTTGGTACTATGTACAAGGGGAGAAGAAAATTTTGGTCAAGTGAATAACGAATGCTTTATAAACTCTCTCTCACTTGATTTTTAGTCATTGTGACAGTCTCTCCTGAGCCAAAGAGGTCTTCTTTTTTTACTTCCTATTCAAGCAACACTGCTTTGTCCACTTGATTTCATTTAATTATCTCTACGAGCCTTCTTTTTGCTCTTCTTTTGGGGTTTCGCTTCCGTCCAGACATCTGCAAGAATAATGTCAAATTAGTATCAAAATATATACAAAAAATAATATTAAGTATCATAATAATATCAAACATCGTTCGAACAATCGTTTTCAAATAATCGTATCGAATATTTTATTTAAGAAAGTTTCATTTTAATAAAAATTGCAACTTTTTGTCTATAAGAATTATTTGTCAAATTTTAGGTTATTTTACAAAAAATTCAGAGTGTCTACAATTTTCGTTCAAAACAAAATTCCCGGTTTTTTTTCTCATCAAATTTAAATTTATTTGATTTCGAACATAAATAAATCTACAAATGGCTTCAAAAATTTTTATTAGAGTTTTTATGAATAATTAAATTCTTTTGACGAGTTTCTTTAAATTTTTTAATAATTTTAATTAAAAATTTGGAAAATAATTGAATATATTGGGAAGAAATTTTTAAAAATAAAATTATAATTACGGTGATTAACTTCCCTTGATTGTTAATTTGTTTGTTAGCGAAGATTATTAATTATTTCTAAGAAATTTAAAAGAATAGGATAATAATAATTAATATTAATACCTCCTAATTCGTCAAAAGCAGCAACAGGTTTTTCCACTACCTGCTCGCTCTTAATGGGCTCCGGCACATCCTTGACGATGACCTCCTCCACCTTCTTCTCGATAATTTTTGGTTCTGATTTTACAGCAGCAGCTACTTTTTCAGATTCACTGTTTTTCTTCGACTTCTTGGATTTAGTTTTCTTCTCCTCCTTTTCGGGTTTTTCGGGCTTTTCGACCTAAAAGAAAGAGTGAAATTAACTTTCCAGATTGTAATTCAAATGATAAATTAGTTAATTGATAATAGTAGTACTAAAATAGTAGTTAATTGAAAACAGTATGAAAATTAACTGATAATAGTGCGAAAACAGAATAGAAAATGAATTAAGAAATACCTTGTTGGAAATTTCGGCTTTCTTCTCCACTTTCTTCTCAGTCTCGAGATTGTCACTGATGATGGGTGTAAGAACAACGTCTTTGTTATCCTTCTCCTTTAATTCTTTATTTTCGGTCTCTTTGGCAACTTTGTCTTTAATCTCTGGTTTCTCTTGATCCTTTTCTTTAACGGCTACTTCATTAATCAATTCAGCTTTCTTTGCATTCTTCTTTGATTTCTTTGATGGGGTGTCTTCCTCCTTCTTCTTGTTCTTTTTGTCTTTTCGCGAGTAGGCTTGTTCCCAATCACCTGAAAATATATTTTGTCATTCACTGTTTTAAAATGTATTTAAAAAATACAGAGAAAATTATTTCGCTCACAATTATTATCACCATCGTCATCATCATAATTTAATCATAATTTATAGACCAAAAATTAAAAATTACGGACCATTTACGGACCACAAAAAAATATAACCAGTCTGAGTCAAATAAGAGAACATTTTACTTAAAAGTTAAAACTAGAAATTAAATTTTTCATAACTATAAAACATGACCGATACTGTTTTTAATATTCAATTATTATCTCAAATTTTACATAAAATTCATTTTTAAATTAATGTTTATTAGAAAATTCTACTAGAATTCAATTATTTAAATACAAAAATAAATAATTTATTGAACAATTAAATGTTTCTTTCAATTCAATTCAATTTTTTCCCCATAAAGAATTTTATCAACAAGTTTTTAAATAATTGAATTCTTTCGACGAATTTTAATTAAATTTTTAAAACTAATTACATTTTTCGAGAAACTCGATTAAAATTTATTGTGTTAAAATAAATTGTATTTTGCGATGAGTTTTATTATTTGTGAAAATAATTAAATCCCTAAGAAGAATTTTATTATTTCTGAACAATATTTAATTTTTACGAAGAATATTATTAGTCTTGAAAATAATTGAATTTCTGCCCAAATTTTGTAACTTTTTTAAAATTAAATTTTCTTTCGTGTTTTTAATTAAAATTCTTTTATAAATGCATTATTTTTAATAATTTTTGAAAAAGTTCTTTGGGAATTTTCAAAATCATTTGTTTACAATTCAATTTCCCAAAATTTAAATTATTCGTGAATTCTTCAATTAAATGTATATTAGAAAATAAAAACTTGAAATAATTTTTAAAAAAATCAGCAGTTAAACTTTCTAAAAAAAATTAATTCCACACAGAATTGTTAGTTAAAAATTTGGAAGATTCAGATTTTCAAAGATTTTAGTTTGAAACCTTTTCCAAATTCAGATATTTCTACAAATTCAAGCTATATTGCTTTTAAAATTCAATTATAATATGAAATTTTAACTTAAATCTATTTTTAAATCAATTTTTATTAGAAAATTCTACTTGAATTCAATTATTTAAATACAAAAAAAAATTTATTGAATAATTGAATGTTTTTTAAAACTGAATTTTTATAAAGAATTTAAATCAACAAATTTTAAAAAAATTGAATTTTTTTGACGAATTTTAATACAATTTTTAAGAATAATTACATTTTGCGAGGAATTTGATTAAAATTAAAATTAATTGAAATTTATGAAAATAATTGAATTCCTGAAGAAAATTTTATTATTTACGAAAATAATTGAATCCCTGTAAAAATTGTATTATTTATGAAAATAATTGAATTGCTGTAAAATTTTATTATTTTATGAAAATAATTAAAGATTTGGGTAGAATTTTATTAAATTTTTTTTTAAGTAATTGAATTCTTTTGGAAAATTTTATTAAAATTGTAGATATTAAAAATCAATGAATTGAGGAAAATTGTTTTAAATGATTGAAATTCTAAAGCTAAAATTTTAACTGAAATTTATTTTTAAATTAATTTTTATTAGAAAATTCTACGAGAATTCAATTATTTAAATACAAAAATTAATAATTTATTGAATAATTAAATGCTTCTTAAAATTAAATTCTCATAAAAAATTATGTATCAACAAACTTTTAAATAATTGATTTATTTCGATGATTTTTAATAAAATTATTAAAAATAATTACATTTTTCAAGGAATTCGATTAAAATTGTATTAAAAATAATTGAAATTCTGCGATCAGTTTTATTATTATTTATGAAAATAATTGAATTATTGAGAAGAAATTTATTATTTACGATAATAATTGAATCCCTGTGAAATTTTTATTATTTATAAAAATATCTGAATTATTGCGAAGAAATTCATAAAAAATTTGTAAATAATTGAATTCCTGTGAAATTCTTATAATATTTTATGAAATTAATTTATTATTTACGTAGAATTTTATTAAAGATTTTTTAAATAATTGAATTCTTTTGAAAAATTTTATTAGAATAGTTGATATTGAATATCATTGAATTGAGGCAAATTTTTGAAAATAATTGAAATTTTGTCAAGAATTTTATTAAAATTTTTGAAAATAATTGAATTTCAGAGAAAAATTTTATTACCTACTTCTAAAAATAATTGAAATTTTGACAAGAATTTTTAAAATTTTCTGAACAGAATTGAATTTTTGCGAAGAATTTTATTACTTTTGAAAATAATTGAATTTCTGCAATCATTTGTAATTTCTCAAATTCTCCAAATTATATCGTACAATTTACGAAATTTTCGTCCTTTTTCAATCAAATTACGGACTTTGCGGATCTTTTTTCATAAAACTGTTCGAGCCCTGTTATTATTATTAAATTAATAATAATTTTTTTGTTTATCATTATTATAATTTTTTATTAAATTATATATTTATTTCAGTTTACCTTCGTCAAAATCAACTGGTTTCTCCTGTAGAAGATTCTTCAGGTTCTTCTTATTTTTCACCTGCTCGACTTTATTCTCCTTTCCCGACTTAGCCTCGTGATTTTTTTCCTTCTTGATGACGACGGGTTTATCGTCCTCTTGCTTCTTCTCCTTTAATTTGCCATCGACATCATCATTTTTCGATGACTTTTTTGTTGTTTCTGATTTTGCGATAACCGTCTTCTTTGCAGGACTCGCTTTCTCGGTGACTAGCTGTCCATTAGCGGCTTTCTGTAATTAGTGAAAATTGATTAGATATTTATGTGTGTGTATCAACTTTAGACTCTGGACTTTAGATTTTTGAATTTTCTCACTCTTTTCATTTATCAAATTTTTACATATTCTGTTATATTTCAAAATGATAAATAGAGAAGGTAAATTTCGTAAATTTTAATTAAAATAGTAAAAAAAAGTAAAGTAGACAATTTTTAAAAATTTGAGAACTTTTTTTATATTTCGAAAATGAGAAAATTTTTTTTAATATACTGTTTCAGAAATCGGGGTATACGCCCTTCTGTGAGGGATCACGTGACTTAAGGACTTGCAATAATAACACAGTGATATGTGAACTCTAGGTATGTATAAATGGTATAAATAAATCTGAGGACATAAGACTAGAGAGAAATGAAAATTTAACACATGAAAGAGAAGTATATCGTATACTGTTGATTAATAATTCATTGACTAAAAATCAATCTGCATTGTAAATTTCTTGGGGTCTGTTTTGTTACGTCATTTTCATTAAATTCGCGCGTCAAATTTACATTATCCCAGCTGATCAGTGACACGTGTATGTGCGTGGCTGATTCGGGGTCGTTGGCTACAAGGCGAAAACCAAAGTAATTAATATAAACCATATGGCAAAGAGAAGGTACTTTATAAAAGACGCGGATCGTTTTTTCGATAAAATTTCACGCAAATGATTATGATAGAAAACAATTTCGTGTATACACACCTTTTCCTTGGTTTTACTTCGTTTTTTGTTGGCTAGCTTCCGGTCCACGTCTGAAGTAACGGAGAGATGAGCGAAAGGTGGCTGCTCGGCTTTTTTGAAGCCGAAGACGAAGACAAGGATGGCGCAAACCAGGACGCAAACCACAGGTATTCCATATTGCGAATGTTGCAGTAGTAGACTCACGTCCATATCTATGTTTAAATAGTCTTTCAAAATTTTGACGATCGAGTGAAAAAAAGAAGAATTATTTGTTTCGCGTTAGGCTCTACACGAAAGCACCAGGAAAGTTAATCACGGTTTGACACTATACAACAAGAATGCTGGAGAAATGTTAATGCAACACTGAAAACATAACCTCCTGGCGGATAAATGATCAACTAAACAAGTGCGAGTTGGCACACACATATACGATTCATTGGTAAGTGAGTCATAACAACAACTTTTAAATATCTATACTTTAAAATGCAAATCACTAAATTTATTTTAAAAGTAATTTCCTCTTTTTTTTCCCAAGTGAAAAAGTTGCACCAAAAATTTATTCTTTTCCATATTTTTAATCACATTTTCCCCGGATTTTTGTACTTGTGTTTTTTAATTGAATATACAGTCACTCTTTTGACTAAAACTCCGTTAAAAATTCCTGAATTATTAAATTGAAATTATTTTCCATTAAAAAAATATTTAAAAAGATTTTTATCGACTTTATTAAAAAAAAAGATATCAGGGTAAAATTAATACTTATTTACATAATAAATATTTTTATTACTTCCATTTTGAAAGTTTAAACATTTTATATAGTATTAAATATAAACAATAACTGTACAATTTTTTTACATGGTTTGCAAAAATTTTCAATAATTGGAAATTGAAAATTAGAAATATTTAGACAATTTCTATTCTAAGTTTGTACTGTTTTTGAGAATTGAACGACCATTGGTTTGTCTTTTAGAATATAGCCATTCGTTTCAGCAAGAGCAATTTCAGTCTGTTTAATATTTTGTAATGTAACGAACGCTTGACCTTTCATTCGTCCTCCTTGCATGAGTTGCACACTATATTGATTTTCAGCTGTAACTAAGTCTTTGATTTCATACTTCTTATAAATAAAGTGCAAATCTTTAATCTCTACTTGCTTCGCTAGATTCTTTATATACAAACGGCACGACGGTTTTCCAGGATGATAATTCTTGAACGCAGTGAATTTATCGTAATCTGAAAACAAATGTAAAAACTTTTAAATCGGTGCAATTTAAATTAATTAAAATAGACAAATAATAAAAAGAGGCGCAAAAAATAAAAACAGACGAAAATTAAAAATAGACGAAAGATAAAAATATACTAGATATTAACAAAAATAATTATTTAGACTGAATATTAATTTAAAAATAAATAATCAGGATAACTTTTTCGACTTTTTTCGACTTATTTAAAAAAATTACGACTTTTTTTACTTTTCTTCCAAATATTGCAATAATTTTTAGTATAAAATGCAACTTATTAATAAATTTTCTAATTAAATTTTCGAAATTTACAATTAAGAAAAGTTTCAATAATTGAAATTTTATAAAATTTAATTGAAAGTAATTGATTTTTTTTCAAAGCGTTTATAAAAATTTTTGAAAATCAACTTTTGAAGAATTTTAATTGCAAATTTTAAAAATAATTGAAATTGAATTCAATTTTAATTGAATTCCTCGAAAGAATTCAAATTCTAAAAAAAATTTTAATATATTTCGAATAAATTCAATTATTTTTATAAATAGTAAAATTCTTCGCAAAAATTCAATTATTTTTATAAATACAGTAAAATTCTTTGCAATTTTACTGATTGTCAGGAATATTGATAAACTGAAATTTGTGACCACCCTGATAATAGAAAAATTTTACTAAAAAATATGAAAATATAAAAATATGAAAGTTTACGGAAAATGGGTAAAATTTATGAAATTTAATAATTTAAAAATCAAGTAATTAAGTAATTTAGTTTATCAATTTCCCTGACAAATTTATGAAATTTAATAATTTAAAAATTAAGTAAAATTTAGTTTATCAATTTCCCTAACAATTTACTGATTGTCAGGGAAATTGATAAACTGAAATTTGTGACCACCCTGATAATAGAAAAATTTTACCCTTCACTGTGATGCGATTATTTGCCAGTTCTTCAGACGTGATAAATTCTTGCGTTTTCGTTTCTTGCGCATTTTCACTATCTTCGGATGTTTTAACATCGGTTTTATTAGCTGGAGAAAAGAGGCCAAAACCTCCTTCTTGCACATCGCTCACATGGAAAGTTGTTGATTCAGATGAAGGCATATTGCCACTTATTTTTAATTCAAGTTTTTTCGGTTCATTTTTGTTTACTGATTCGAATAAATCCTCTGGCCTCAATGGCCGTTGATTGGAGGTGGAAGCAGCAATGAGTTGCTTTTTAGGATTCACAAACTTTGGAATTTTCAATCTTTTAGTTGACGAGGGCCTCTTTCTCTTCATTGGAATGATATTCTGTATTTTTCCACTTGGCTCCTCTTCGGATTCAATTTCCGATTCTGATTCTTCCACTTCGTCTAGTTCCTGTTGTTCTAAATTTTGAGAAGTTGTTTCTTCAAAACCAAAAATATTTTTGTACTGCTCCACATTGTATGATTCCTTTAGTAGTGGGAAATTTAGTTCCATTTCCTCAAATGGCGGGGGTAAATTCATTCTGTTCATTAAATGCAATACCTACGAATGTAAAATTGAATTATTTTTACTTTATTGTACATTTTTTTATTTTACTGAACGTTTTTAGGTTCATTACAAAAAAAACAATTGAATCAAAATCACTCACCTGTGTGTAAAACATCGGTTCCTTAATCAATTGAATCGCAATTCTCAATAAAGTTTCCCTCGTGGGTGCAGGATATTTGTAAGTAATATTAGGATTAGGTGGCTGAGTAAAGACATTGCTTCCCGTCCAACTGTTTAATTTTTTAAGAAAATTTTCGAGATGCACTTTTTCAGAAGTCTCCTTCTTCACCTCTTCCTCGTCAGCTTTTTTACTACTATCAGTCTTTGTATAATCAGAACTTATTGATTTCTTGGCAAATTCAATTGATAATCGATGACCTTTTACTTCTAATTGATGAAGGCGTAGAAATGCCTCGGTGGCAATTTCCTTAGAGAAAAATTCTGCAAAAGTTATCGTAAACTTTGGCGATTTTCTTATTGTCTTTGTTTTTATTGCATTGAACTTTTTAAGTAATTCATCGCGTCGTTCGTCGGTAAGCGTTGGTGGCAAATGCAAAATTCGAAGAGTTTTTGAAGACTGAAAATAGTTGAAAAACTATAGTAAAATTATAGAGGAAAATAAAACTAAAAATAAATATTCTAAATCGCCCAAATAGTACAGTATTGAAAAAATTAATTGATATTGTATAGAAAATTCAATAAATAGTAACAATATATAAGTAAATATTGAAAAATTAATATAAATATTTAATATTATCATGAAAACAAGTATATAAATTGCAAAAATAAATTTTTAGTTTTTAGAATTAAAAACAATTTTTTAGGTTAGGTTTGAGCAAAATAAATTTTAAATAAAGATGATAAAATTATTTGCCGGATTTAATTCGATAATATTATGGAAGACTTACCACTTCTGTCATATTGATTTTCAATAATGATATTTACAAAATAAAGGAGATAATTAATTAATTATTAAAACATAACTCTGACGTTTACGGTGCATAAACCATTGCAGTGTTTGCATTGGCAAATTCCTGTTGCGTAGTGTGACCAACCAATAGAAACTTGGCGCGCATTTTGAAAAACACAACAGAAATTAACTATTTCGATCAATTTTTTAATTATTCTAATCAATTCTAATAAAATATTTTCGTAAATTTAAAATAAGTAATGTAGGAAAATATTTTTTCATTACATTTACAAAATAACTCGAAATTTCTGTGATTTATCTAAAAAGTTGCGAATTTTTCGCCGATGATAGCATGCGCGCGCCGTAAAATAACATTTTTTTTTTATCAAATAAATATTTCCCCTGTATGCAATAAACAATGTTGATATAAACTTTTACAACCTGTGATAAAATAAAAAATAAAAATTGTAAAAGTCGAGTGGCAAAAAACGTTTTTCGATAGTGTAAAAAAGAAAAAGTTATTTTTTGCAAACAATTTGAAAGTTATATTCCTCCGCGGTTGTCATGGTAACCGCATATAGGAACTACTTTTAGATGTTCATTTATTCGAACAGGTCTCTTCCATTCTGCCATTGTATGACCCGGCGATTTCCAAGTCAAGATTTACATATTTTACAAGTAAAATATCGATGAAATGGTGGATTTTGTGTTGTGAATTGACGACGTAATATAATCGTGAAGTGAATAAATTTTTCATTTCAATAATTCGGATTCGTTTAGCAATAATTATCGATTTCCTATAATACGAAAAGGAGGGTGTTGAACTTGATGTCTTTGGTGTGTTTGCTCATTGACTGTTAACAGAATTTTTCCCAATCGTCATGTAAGTACAAAATGACATTGTTCACTTGATTAAAAATATGAAAACTTCTCTCAAAATGTCGCGAATTCAAGTTGCAGTTTGCAATCAAGTTGCGTTATTTTTTATGAAATCGGCCATTTTTTTAATGTCTTGTCATGTATATAGGTTTAATTTTGGATTACGTATTCACTAATCAATAGTTTATTGTCACAAACTATTATATTATTGATACACTCTCTTGCACTTTATCTGCAAAGTATATATACGTTCAGGCCATAAAGTTACATAACTTGGAAGTCAGCTGTTTAAAAAGAAAAATATGTATTGTAAAAAATTTTATTGCTTATAAACATTAGAAACTCACGTTCTTTGCGAATTGACAATCCATATTGCAGTACATTATGTAAAAAATATAAAAATAATAATAATAATTAATAATATAAATATATTTTATACAAATAAAAAATGAAATTGAATTTAATGAAAATATATTGAAAATAAAATTTTGAAGTTTTTGCGATAGAATTTGGAATATAATTTAGAATATTAACGATGTTTTCTTGTTTTTTTAGGTTTATTCGCGAGAACAGGAATCAAGGAAGTAGTCGAGGTGGCAGAGGTAGAGGCAATGGACGAGGTGGAGGTCGAAATGTCAGAAACGAAAGCAGTCGTGGAGGTGTCAGGGGAAAATTCAATCCTCGAGGTGCAAGTCAATCAAATCGTGGCGGTATTAATAAACCAAAAACTCATGGAGAATCTCTACAAAAATTAAATTGGGATTTAGGATCTTTGGAGACGATACGAACTAATTTCTACAGTGAACATCCGTCTGTGCGAAATAGGTATCAATAAACTAACATTTTTCACAAAGTGTCGAATTAAAATAATTTTTTTTATAATTTATTTTGTATATTAATTATATTACATATTGTCTTTAATATTGTACGCATAATTTCATATAATTACGATTGTAAATTGATATTGTAATTAACGTGATAATTTTTAGGTCTGAAGAGGAAATCCAGTATTTTCGTAAAGAGGCAAAAATAATAGTGAAAGGGAATAATATTCCAAATCCAATTCAGTACTTTGAAGAGGGAAATTTTCCGCCTTATGTAATGGATGCAATAAGGAAACAGGGATTTTCTCAACCGACACCCATTCAAGCGCAAGGTTGGCCAATTGCTTTGAGTGGAAGAGACCTCGTCGGTATCGCTCAGACTGGATCTGGAAAAACACTTGGCGTAAGAATTTCAATTTTCTTTCTAATTCCTTTAATCCTAAAATTTTATCTTATTTTTTTCTCTTTTGTAGTACATTTTGCCTGCTATCGTTCACATAATTAACCAACCGCGGCTGAATTTAGGTGAGGGTCCAATTGCCTTAGTTTTAGTACCAACACGAGAATTGGCGCAACAAATCCAAGAAGTGGCTAACGATTTCGGCGAATCTGCGTCAGTGAGAAATACTTGCATTTACGGAGGTGCACCCAAGGGACCACAGGCTCACGATTTAGAAACTGGTGTCGAAATCTGCATTGGCACTCCCGGACGATTGATTGATTTTCTAGAAAAGGGAAATATTAACTTAAGAAGGTAATAAAATCATAACAATCAAAACAATTATATTAATAGCAGGCATCACAGTTGGTCCCCTTTTGTCCCCTTATTTCAATTTTATCACCTTTTACACCTTTTTTTGACGATTTGTCACTTTTTTCCCCATTTTTGCTAATTTGTTGTCCCCCTTTTCACCTTTTTCTAATCAAAAATAAACAAGTTTTTCTTTTTTTGAAACCTTTTTCAAAGTATAATCATAAAATTTTAACTCAATGTTATATAGAATTCGGTGAGTTTTATTTTTGATTTAGATTATAACTTAGAAATTATTTAATGAATAATTTTATTTATACAGTTGAAAATTAATTGAATTTTAAAATAGTTGCGTTTACAATTTTCATAAATAGATGAAGTTCAAAACATTTTAATTTCAAATTTTTTAAAATTCCAACTTTGAATGAATTTTATTAGAAATTCTAAAGAACTTAAATTTTTGCAAAAATTTTTAAAATTTAAATTATTCTGAAATAAGTTAAATTTTTTAATATATAATATTTAATTAATTAATAAAAATAAAGAAATTAACTAGGAATTTTAGTTAAAAACACTAAAAAAAATTTGAATTTTGAAGAAGTTTCAAATGATTGCAAAAATTCAATTATTTTCAAAAATAATAAAATTCTCCGCAGAAATTCAATTATATTAAAAAATTTAAAGAAATTCTTGTTAAAATTTCAATTCTCTTTATAAATAATAAAATTCTTCTTCGAAATTCAATTATTTTCAAAAATTTTAATGAAATTCTTGGCAAATATTCAATTATTTGCAAAAATTTTCCTAAATTTAATGATATTCAATATCTACTATTTTAATAAAATTCTCCAAAAGAATTCAATTATTTAAAAAAAATGTTATTAAAATTCTACGCAAAAGTTTAATTATTTTCATAAATAATAAAATAATTTCACAGGAATTCAATTATGTATTTATAAATTTCTTTTTAATTTCTTCGTAATAACTCCATTACTTTCATAAATAATGAAAAACAAAAGTCTTGATAAATAAAATTCTTCAGAAAAATTCAATTATTATTATCATAAAGAACAAAGTTCTTCGCAGAAATTCAATTATTTTCAAAAATAACAAAATTTTTAGCAGGAATTCAATTATTTATAAATTTTTTAAAAATTTTATCTCAATAATTCAATTTTTTTCATAAAAAATAAAAATTTCACAGGAATTCAATTGAGGCCTTGGATCCAATAACTCGCCCGACGCTCGAAGGCACGCGCTAATACCAGTCGGGTAGCAGTGAGTGGCCCAGAGGCGCTCACTGCTCACTGACTGGCAGTTGCGCGTTCCTCCGAGCGTCGGGCGAGTTATTGAATCCAAGGCCTCAATTATTTATAAATTTTTATAAATTTCTTCACAATAATTCAATTATTTTCATAAATAATAAAAATTTCCCAAGAATTCAATTATTTATAAATTTTTTATAAATTTCTTCTCAATAATTCAATTATTTTCATAAATAATAAAAATTTCACAGGAATTCAATTATTTATAAATTTTTATAAATTTCCTCACAATAATTCAATTATTTTCATAAATAATCAAACTCATCGCAGAATTTTAATTATTTAAATAGGGTAACTGCACCAATTGCCGAGGGTGCTCCAATTGTCGAGGATAATAATTTTCTTTTTTAGATAAATAGTATAATATATAATATTTAAGAACAAAAAAAATTTCTAAATAATCTTTGTATTTTCAACTGTATATTTATATATACAAATTTCGTAGCGATTCTACTAAAATAATTATTTAATTAATATTATAATTCACTGCTGTGAAATTTACACGAATCTCCATTTTCTTAATACTTCAGGTTGATTAAAACAGATTTTTATAAATGCAAATTAAACGTATTTATAATGACTTTTGTGTACAAAATTATTATTATAATTTTGTACACGAACTAAATTAATTTTGTATGCATGTTTTTTTGTTAAAAAAAAATATTTAATATTTTTTAAAAGCAAATCATCGGTATTTGGTTCCTTTTTTTTGACAGTTCCATTTTTCGAGGAAATGACTTGAAAATTGGTGTAGTCACTTTTTTCGCTGATGCACCATTTATCGATGGTTAAGTGTTTATTTACTAAACGTCAAACATAAATGCCAAACATTTATAGGTACAGAGAAAAAGAAAAAAAATGCTCAAAAAATTTACAACCAACAGAAAATAATCAACCAAAAAAACGAGGAAAAAAGACCGAAAAAAAATTAATAAAAAAATGCATTATTTAAAACTAAAAAATTTTGTACTATAGTTTAATTATAATTAACCATTATATTTACAGTTCGTAATAAAAGTTTATTTTATTCGTTTACAAATTTAATGTGACTTAAATTAATTTATTTTTTCAATTAATGTCTGATTAACAAAATTGATTAAATTTAATTAACTTATATTTATAAAAGTTTAAAAAACAGTTAAGTAATTTTCTGTCCTGTATCATCTACTATAAAAATGTTTTATATCGATATTATAAATTATTCAATTATAGTTAAATAAATATATTTGTTTTCTGGTAATGTTCTATAATATTTTTATCGAAAAAATAAATATCTACTCGATTTTCTAATATCTGTACAGGTTAATTGTTAGGTTATATTGGGTTGTATGTTTAAAAATGTCATACCCTCGACAATTGGAACAGACCCTCGAGAAATTAGCACAAGACCATCGACAAATGGTGCTTTTGCTCGATTGACTTTTAAATATATTTTTTGCTTAACAATTTAGTTTATATTAAAAAAATAAATATGAATATTAAACATTATTAGATCCTTCGTCCAAATATACAAAAATCAAATTTTAAAGTGCATTTACTTCCGAGAAAAAAAATGTCAAAGTCACATGTTGCCTAAAACCCTCGACAATTGGTACAGTTATCCTATTTGTCGATAAAATTCTTTATGAGAATTCAATATTAAGAAACATTTAAATATTGAATGTAAAATTTCACATAATAATTTAATATTAAAAGCATTATAGCGTGAATTTTTATAAATAATTGAATTTTTAAAAAGTTTCAAATTGAAATCTTTGAAAATCTGAATTTTTCATATTTTTAACTAACAATTCTGTAGAATTAATTTTTTTCAAAAAGTTTCATTGAAATTATTCGAAGTTTTTATTTTAAAATATAGTTTAATTGAAGAATTTACGAATAATTGATGAAATTTTGTAAAATTTAATTGTAAACAAATACATTTGAAAATTCTCAGAATTTTTTTTTTTAAATTATAAATAATTTATTTAAAGAAGAATTTTAGTTAAAAATTCTAGAAAATAAAAATTGAATTGAAATGATGAAAATAATTTTGAAGAAGTTACAGTAAAAATATTTCTTACAGTAGAAAATAATGATCTTAGGTAGGGAAAAATTTTTGTGACAACTCTGATTATAATCGAATCATTTTTAAAAAATTTTATAGAAGCTATATGACAAAAATTTGGAATTATATATGCAAGTTGTATAAACAAATAAATTTTTGTCCCCTTTTTTGAAGAAAAAAATCCCCCTTTTTACTTTTTTTGAGGAAAAAGGATACTGTGATGAATGTAATACTTTTTAGTTCCTTTTCGTTAATACTTTTGTTTAATTCCCAGATGCACGTACCTAGTGCTAGACGAAGCAGACAGAATGCTCGATATGGGTTTCGAGCCTCAAATTCGCAAAATAATAGGACAAATCCGACCGGACAGACAAGTTTTAATGTGGTCAGCGACATGGCCAAAAGAAGTGCGAAATCTCGCCGAGGAATTTTTAACCGACTACATTCATTTGAATATTGGCTCTCTGAATTTGTCCGCGAATCACAATATCATTCAGATTGTTGATGTCTGTCAAGAATCGGAAAAAGATTTCAAATTGATAAGATTGTTACAAGAAATAAGTACCGAACAGGAAAATAAGACAATTATATTCGTTGAAACTAAGAGAAAAGTTGATGATATTACGAAAAATATTGTACGTGACGGATGGCCGGCTTTAAGTATTCACGGAGATAAGAATCAACAGGAAAGAGATCATGTTTTGCACGAGTTTCGCAGTGGACGAGCAGCAATTCTAGTTGCGACTGATGTTGCCGCTAGGGGTTTAGGTTTGTTACAGAAAAAACAAAGTCGAACAAAAAAAAAAACAAAAAACAAATGAAATAAATAGGAAATTGGCAACAATTGTTGGATTAGCCAGTGATGCGTTATAAATTGAAATTCAGTAACAAAAACCAAACTTAATTTTAAAAAAACTTAATGTCTGATTCTGTGATTAATTTTCAAGTTGTTTCAAGTTGCTTCAAGCTGCTTCGTTAATTTTTTTTAAAATTTTTTTAGTATTTAATAATAATTGAACTTATGATGTTTGCTTGCATGTCGCAAAAATTCTAGAAATGTACCTAAAAAAAGGCAATGACAGTTAAGTGGTTTTTCTTTTTCAGAGGCACAGAGTTTCCTTAAAGTGGTGTACTGCCAATTTTCGGCAGAAACGACTTATTTTTTCTTCCTTCATTTCTTTAGCTGTACTCTGTACACATTTTCTTTGTCCAAGAAATTACCACATTATGATGATTTTCTCTTAAGGTAATTTCTTAACGTAATTTCTTAACGTATCAAGAGCGATCATTTAAAAACTAATATACATTTCTAGAAAATATATTTCACTTATTTATTATCTATTAAAGACATGCCAATAGCAAAAATAACTTTTTTTTTCTAATAATCTAAGTCAGACATAGTATAAAAAATTAATGCACGCAGGTCTAAACCGTAAAATGCTGCCTCTATTCCAAAGCACTTAATGAAAGGGGAACATTTAAAATGAGGCATACTCTGCAATCTTTGCTGTTTTGATAATTTTAGTATTTTGTTTTGTTTGTTACGAATTATTTCTACTTGATTTTTTCACAGATGTGGATGATGTAAAATATGTGATCAATTTTGATTATCCATCGTCATCGGAGGATTACATTCATCGTATTGGAAGAACTGGTCGTAAGCATCAAACCGGAACGGCGTACGCTTTCTTTACGACTCAAAATATGAGGCATGCTGGTGATTTAATAGAAGTTTTGCGAGAAGCTGGACAAAGTATTAATCCCCGATTGAGCGAAATGGCAGAAATGGCGAAATCCACTTCTGGTAACAAAGGTAACACATTTATTATAATATAAACAGGGCTCGAACTAAGTCCGTAAATTTGTTTCAAGACCGTAAAAGTCAGTTTTTAAAAAAAAAAAAAAAAAAAAAAGTCCGTAAAGTCATTAATTTGATTGAAAAAGAACGAAAAGTTCGTAAATTGTAAGATATAATTTGGAGAATTTCAGAAAAATTAAAAATGATTGCAGAAATTCAATTATTTTCAAAAGTAATCAAATTCTTCGCAGAAATTCAATTCTGTTTAAAATTTTTTTTAATTCTCGTCAAAATTTCAATTATTTTTAGAAATGACAAAATTCTTATCCGAAATTCAATTATTTTCAAAAATTTTCATAAAATCCTTGGCAAAATTTCAATTATTTTCAAAAATTTTCCTCAAATTCAATAATTTTCAATATCAACCATTTTGAATTAATAAATTAATATTAATAAAATTTTCCAAAAAAATTCAATTATTTAAACTATAAACTAATTTTAATAAAATTCTACGTAAACATTTAATTATTTTCATAAAATAAAAATTTTAACAGGAATTCAATTATTTTTAAATTTTTTATAAATTTTTTCGCAATAATTCAATTATTTTCATAAATAATAAAATTTTTACAGGGATTCAATTATTTGCGTAAATAATAAAATTTTCTTTAGGAATTCAATTATTTTTAATATAATTTTAAAAAAATTTCTCGAAAAATGTAACTATTCTTAAAAATTTTATTAAAATTATTCAAAAGAATTCAATTATTTAAAATTTTTTAAAAATAAAAAATTTTTAAAAAAAATTTATTTAAAATGGAATTTTAGCTAAAATTTTAGATTATAATTGAATATTAAAAGCATTCTAGCTTGAATTTTTAGAAATAATTAAACATTGAAAAGGTTTCAAATTAAAATTTTTGAAAATTTGAATTTTTCATACTTTTAACTAAAAATTGTGTAGAAGAATTAATTTTTTTAAAAAGGTTTATTTGAATTTTACTTGACATTAAGTTTTTGAAGTTTTTATTTTTCTAATATGTCTAATATATATTTAATTGAAGAATTTGCGAAGAATGGAAATTTTGTAAAATTGAATTGTAAACAAATAAATTGAAAAATTCTCAAATAATTTTTTCAAAAATTATTACAATTAATGGGTTTATAGAAGAATTTTAGTCAAAAACACTTAAAAAAATTGAATTTTGAAGAAGTTGAAGATTATTGCAGAAATTCAATTATTTTTATAAATAATGAAAAATTCACAGGAATTCAATTATTTATAAATTTTCATAAATTTCTTCACAATAATTAAATTATTTTCATAAATAATAAAAATTTCCCAAGAATTCAATTATTTATAAATTTTTTATAAATTTCTTCGCAATAATTCAATTATTTACAATTTTCATATAAATTTCTACACAATAATTCAATTATTCACAAATTTTTTATAAATTTCTTCTCAGTAATTCAATTATTTTCATAAATAATAAAAATTTCTCAGGAATTTAATTATTTATAAATTTCTTCACAATAATTCAATTATTTTCATAAATAATAGAAATTCCCCAAGAATTCCATTATTTACCATTTTTTTTATAAATTTCTTTACATTCATTCCATTATTTACTTTCTAAATTTCTTCTCAATAATTCAATTATTTTCGTAAATAATAATAAAAATTTCACATGAATTAAATTATTTATAAAATTTTAAAAGTTTTTTCACATTAATTCAATTATTATCATGAATAATAAAAATTCTCCAAGGATTCAATTATTTACAATTTTTTTTATAAATTTCTTTGCAATAATTCAATTATTTACAATTTTTGTTATAAATTTTTTCGCAATAATTCAATTATTTACAATTTCTTTGATAAATTTCTTCACAGTAATTCAATTATTTACAAATTTTTTATACATTTCTTGACAATAATTCAATTATTTTAATAAATAATAAAAATTTCACAGGAATTCAATTATTTATAAAATTTAAAAAATTTTTTCACTTTAATTCAATTATTTTCATGAATAATAAAAATTTCATAGGAATTCAACTATTTTCATAAATAATTAAACTCATCGCAGAATTTCAATTATTTTTAATACAATTTTAATCAAATTTCTCAAAAAAATGTAATTATTGTTACAAATTTTATTAAAATTCGTCGAAAAAAATCAATTTCTTAAAAATTTGTTGATAAAATTTTTTAAGAGAAAGGAATTTTAAGAAACATTTAATTATTTAATAAACTATTTATGTATCTAAATAATTGAATTCTTTTAGAATTTTTTTATTAAAAATGGTTTTAAAAATGAATTTCAGTTAAAATTTTAGATTGTAATTGAATATTAAAAGCAATATAGCTTGAATTTTCAGAAATAATTGAATTTTGAAATTAATTTTTTTAAAGAAGTTTAATTGCATTTTTTTATATTAATTGGAGTTTTTATTTTTTAATATGCATTTAATTGAATAATTTAGGAGTAATTGAAGTTTTGTAAAATTGAATATTGTAAACAAATGTATTTAAAAATTTCCAAAGAACTTTTCCGAAAATTATTAAAAAATAATTGATTTAAAGAAGAATTTTAGTTAAAAATTCTAGTAAATAATAATTGAATTGAAATGATGAAAATAATTTTGAAGAAGTTACGGTAATAATATTGTAATAATATAATATTAATGATTTTTTCACTGGGCCATCTTTAATTATTATAAAACATGAAGAAATCGATCACTCCGAGTCGAAGACTCGGAGTTATCGATATCTTCATGTTTTATATGTTATGAAAAATTTAATTTTTAGTTTTAAGTAAAGTGTTCTTTTATTTGCCTCGGACTGGTTATATTTTTGTCAGTAATTGAATTGGTCCGTATAATTTTTCATTTTTAGTCCATAAATTTCGTATTTTTAAAATACTTTCACTGCTTCGAGTCTTGTAAAAATAATATTTGAAAAATATAACTAAAGAAAAACAATTTTTCAGCTAACAAACGCTTTGGAGGAAATTCGTCGCAATTCAAAGAAAGTGACAGCAAACGTGGAGGATTCGATGGTAGAGGAAGAGGACGAGGCAATAGAGGTCGAGGAGGCGGAAGTAATCGTGGTGGGAATTCCTATCAATCAAGACCAGCCACCACATTCACTGGATCCAATTACAATAATTACAAGCCAACATATTCAAATACAGGATATGACAACAATGCGAAAAAAAATTACGGACAAAGCTATAATTTTCAAGGCTACGGTGGGTCAAATAATTACCAACAATACAGAGACACGTCGTACTAAGAATTTAGAAATTCTAAATATGTTCACACAAAACTTTTTCCTTAAAGACAAAAAAGAAATAGGGGAAAAAAGTGACTTAGCTATATCCATAATTATCGTTCTATCAATAAGGAATTGCGCGCACGCAATGAATTTTTATCGTCCAAAAAAAAAAAAACTTGTTCTCTCACTTTAATTTTATTGCATATCAAAAAACTTTGCAATTTCATATTTCACACAGTCCAAAGATTAGACTTTAAAAAGAAAAAAAAGTAAGATTAATTATATTAAAATTTCGATTTTTTTTCTTTTAATTTAGATAGTCTTGCTAAAAATATAAGTGCAATTAAACATTTTTAGATATAATTGTGATGACGAGCTATATTAGAAGATTTAGAGGATTATTATGAAAAATGAAAATGAGTTACAAGTATAGTACTTGTAGATCTTTATTGTATGTATCTATCTAATTTTCTTTCTTTTTTTAGAAACATTTTCATTATTGATAATGATTTCAAATTCAAATATTATCAATATTGATTATTGATAATTGATAATATTTTTCAAGTGTTTAGCTACTTGAAGAAAAAGTATTTTGTTTGCAAAGTTCAGTATTATCATTATTAATAATGATAGTTTTTTAATAATTGGCTTAAATTTCTGTTATGTTGTTAGTTAGATTATAATATTTACGTTAATTCCGAATATCATTTGTTGTTTGTCGTTATTTAATTTAATTCACTTGAGATAATATATTAAAGTATTGAATAAGAGGAGAATTATCATCAATTTGTAAAGTAAATTGACAGTTGTTTTTAGATCTCTAAATTACAATTTGATGCATATTGAATGTTATCCTAAGTTTATGAAGATAGTTTTAAATCTCTAAAATTGAAAATAATTATAGCACAACGATTTTTTTGTTTGTTTTCTATAAATGAGAAAAAAGGATTAGCATCGAGTGTGAAATATAATTGATGCATCTATATATTGTTAGGATACTACTTTCTGTGATCTATTAAATTAAGGATCTCTCAAAGTATTTACATCCAATTTTTGTGATTTATCTTAACAAAATAAAGTTGACTTTCCAAAATAATGTTGTAAATGATATAATAATAAAAATTCATTTTCAATTCATTCAATCATTCGACTTTGTATTTAATTAACAATTTTCAGAGCTTAGAGATTCGTAAATTTCAAATTAGTAATAAATTGTAAATTTAATAAGATATTAATTTTTTTTTACTTTTCAAGTATTAATCTAGTTTAGAGAATGGAGCAAGAATGGAGAGAACAGAGAAGTTTAGGAAATGCCAGAAGATGTCGCGCTTGTTCCCTTTCCTGTCTGTGCTGTGCATTCCATCTTTTATACAGCTTGGAGACGCGCAAGTTTATTCTATTAAATATTTATTGAAAATTTCATTATAAACCAAGGAGGACTTGAATCGAAAATTACAAATCTTCTGAATGACAATGTGAGTATTGGTTATTTTCTATTTTTCTCCCCCTTCGTAAATTTAGTCAAATTGATGACTGTGTTGCATTGTTGCCATTCGGTGTCCATGTTGGTTGTGTATATACACTTGCAATTATTGACGTAATTTTTAAATGGAAACAATTTTCAGAAGCTGCGAGTTTAAAAACTTATGACGATCTGTAATTTTGAAATAATTCCCTTTTTTATAATTATGAGCTGAGATTATATTGTATTCTTTTCTATATCTAATCATTAATCTATCAATTTAATATAATTATGTTAATTAGTTGCGAATCAACGCTAATAGAAAATGTTTTTTAAATTCAAGTCCTATATTTTTAAATCGTTTCGAATAGTAGTTCTAAATTAAATAGTTATTCTGTTTTTATGTTGGAATTTTTGCCAGATTATTGATTTTTAAAGGGGGGGGAGGGTATTTTGAAAAAGGTGTGCCGTGTCCGGGAGAGAAAAATTCATAAAAAAATAAAGATCCATCAGAAAAGATGAATGTTTGATAAATAATAAAAATTTCACAGGAAATTATTTACAAATTTTTTATAAATTTCTTCGCAATAATTCAATTATTTTCATAAATAATAAAAATTTCAGAAGAATTCAATATTATTTACAAATTTGTTATAAATTTCTTCGCAATAATTCAATTATTTTCATAAATAATAAAAATTCCACAGCAATTCAATTATTTATCAATTTTTTATAAATTTCTTCACAATAATTCAATTATTCTTATAAGCAACAAAAATTCCTCAAGAATTCAATTATTTACAATTTTTTTTATAAATTTTATCACACTAATTATATTATTTTCATGAATAATAAAACTCATCGTACAATTTCAATTACTGTTTATAAAAATTTATTCAATTTGCTAGTATAGTTGTACCTATAGTAAATTATTCTTAAAAATTTTATTAAACTTCGCCAAAAGAATTCAATTATTTAAAAATTTGTTGATAATATTTTTTAAGAGAATTCAATTTTAAGAAATATTCAATTATTCAATAAATTATTCATTTTTGTATTTAAATAATTGAATTCTCGTAAACTTTTCTAAGAAAAATTGATTTAAAACGGAATTTCAGTTAAAATTTTAGATAATAATTGAATATAAAAAGTATTATAGTGTGAATTTATAGAAATAATTGAATTTGAAAAGGTTTCAAATTATATTCTTTAAAAATCTGAATTTTTAAAATTTTTATTTAACAATTTTTATAGAATTAATTTTTTTTGGAAAATTATATGTAATTGGATTTTTTTTAAATTGTTTCAAATTTTTATTTTATAATATATATTTAATTGAAGAATTTACGAATAATCGAAATTTTTGATAAAATTGAATTGTAAACAAATGGATTTGAAAATTCTTAAAGAACTTTTTTCAAAATTATTAAAAATTATTGATTTAAAGAATAATTTTAATTAAAAATTCATAACGTATTTTATGGATGGTCCCTAATAATAATATAAAAATAGTAATAATAATAATCAATATTATTAATAATTTCAATGACATTAAAACGAACTATTTTTCGCAGGGCGTACAGAGATCGCGATCGTGGTGTCGACAGAAGAGGTGGAACCGGTGGAGGACGTGGCGGTAGTCGTGGAATGGGTGGAAGTCGTGGGGGAAGAGGAGGAAGCCGAGGAGGAGGTGATGGGGGCAGCAGTGGAAGATTTGGAAATCGCGATGGTGGTGGTGGCGGCGGTGGTGGTAATATTGGAGGAAGTAGATTTGGCAGTGGTGGAGGAATGGGAAATCGCGACAGTGGATTTGGTAATAATAATTTTAAAAATCGTCAACCTGGTGAACGTCTACGTAAGCCACGTTGGGATATGGGTTCACTGCAACCATTCAGAAAAGATTTCTATCAACCACATATGAATGTCTCCAATCGAAGTATGCATTCCGTTGATTCCTATCGTTCAAATAAGGAGATCACAGTCAAAGGCAATAATATACCGGGTCCAAATGTCTACTTTGAAGAGGGTGGCTTTCCCGATTATGTTCTAAATGAAATTCACCGACAGGGATTCGGTGAACCGACTGCAATTCAAGCTCAAGGTTGGCCAATTGCTCTCTCGGGACGCGATATGGTTGGCATCGCTCAAACCGGCTCTGGCAAAACTCTAGCCTACATTCTTCCCGCTATCGTGCACATTAATCATCAGCCGAGGTTGAATAGAAATGACGGACCGATTGCGCTTGTTTTGGCGCCAACGAGAGGTGGGAATTTGTTTTAAAAAAAATTGTTTTATTTTATTTATTGTTTATAGGCTTCGCACTCATCTACTAAAACCTATTATTTACTACTTTTTTTACATTATGCTACTATTTGGGTACTTTTTATAGTTTTCAGCCACTGAAAGCTACTATTTCTGTTTTTTTCTAGAATTTCCACTACTTTAAATTCACTAATACTAAAAAGCAAAAAACTATTCACAAAAATTATAATTAAATTCTTTAAAACGATTCAATTATTTTCCAAAAATATTCGAAATTCAATTATTTCAATATTTAGTATTTTCATGAAATTTCGAAAAAAAATTCAATTATTTAAAAAAAACTTGGTAAAATTAATCTAAAATTCAATTATTTAACAAAATATTTATACAATTCCCCACAGTAATTTAATTACTTTCACTAATAATAACATTTTTCATGGAAATTCAATTTAAAAAAAATTTTGAATTCGAAGCAAGAATTCAATTATTTTTCATAAATAATAAAACTCATCGAAGAATTTCAATTATTTTTAATGCTATTTTAAATTAATTAATCGAAAAATTCAATTATTTTCACAAATCAAGATTTCCACAAGAATTCAATTATTTAAAATAAAATTTCCATAAGAATACTATATTTCGTAAACAGTAATTATTTAAAGCAATGTTTATAAAATTCTTATAAAGAATTCAATTATTTAAAAAAAACAAATTTTTCACAGAAATTCAATTCTTTTAAACATTTTAACAAAATTTTTCGCAATAATTCAATTATTTTCACAAATAATAAAATTCTTCTCAGGAATACAATTATTTTTGATAATTTTAATACAATTTTAGAGAAATTGCTCAAAAAATGTAATTATTCTTAAAAATTTGAATTCAGTTCCTCAAAAAAATCAATTATTAAAAAATTTTTTTTTTAATTATTTGGAAGAATTCAATTATTTACAAAAATATTAGAATTTTTCACAGGAATTCAATTATTTTCAAATATTTTAATAAACATGTTCGAAAGAAACAAAGTATTTTCAATACAATTCTAATTAAATTTTTTAAAAATAATTCAATTATTCTTTTAGATTTAAATAAAATTCTTTCCAAGAATTCAATTATTTACATAAATAATTTTTCGAAAGAATTCAATTATGTTGATAAAAAATAAAATTATTTCTAAAAATTCAATTATTTTGAAGCATTTTAATAAAATTATTTGCAAAATTCAATTATTCTCATAAATAATAAAATTCTTCTCAGTAATTCAATTTCTTTTGAAAATTTTAATAACATTTTTAGCAAATATTCACTTATTTTTAAAAATAATAAAATTCATCGCAGGATTACAATTATTTTTATTACAATTTTAGAGAAATTTCTAAAAAATGTAATTATTCTTAAAAATTTAATTTTAATTCCTCGAAAAAATCAATTATTTAAAAAAATGTTTTTTTAAATTCTTTGGAAGAATTCAATTATTAACAACAATATTAGAATTTATCACAGGAATTCAAATATTTCAATAAAATTGTTCGAAAGAAAGAAATTATTTTAAATACAGTTTTAATTAAATTTTTTTGAAATAATTCAATTATTCTTTTAGATTTTAATAAAATCTTCCCAAGAATTCAATTATTTTGAGGCATTTTAATAAAATTATTTGCAAAATTCAATTATTTTCATAAATAACAATATTCACCACAAGAATTCAATTATTTTTAAAAATAACAAAATTTTCTACAGAAATTCAATTCTTTTTAATCATTTTAATGAAGTGTTTCGCAATAATTCAATTATTTTCAAATATTTTAATAAAATTGTTCGAAAGAAATCAATTATTTTAAATAGGTACAAATTTAATTAAATTTGTTTTTGAAATAATTCAATTATTCTTTTAGATTTTATTAAAATTCTTCCCTAAAATTCATTTATTTACATAAATAATTTTTCGAAAGAATTCAATTATGTCGATAAATAACAAAATTATTTTGAGGCCTTTTAATAAAATTCTTTACAAACTTCAATTATTTTCATAAATAACAATTTTTATCACAAGAATTTAATTATTTTCGAAAGTAATAAAATTCTTCTAAGAAATTCAATTATTTTAAAAAATTCTAATAAAATCGTTCGCAAGAATACAATTATTGTCAAAAATTTTTATTGAACTTTTTGTAAAATTTTATTATTTTTAAAAACTTTTTGAAATTTCATTATTTTCAATATCTACTATTTTCATAAAATTTTCAAACAGAACTTAAGTAATTAAAACCTTTTTGTAAAAATCTCTTTAAGAATTCAATTCTTTTCACGAATAATACCATTTTCTCAAGAATTCAATTATTTAAATTAGAATTTGCATAAAATTAGTCGAAAGAAATCAATTATTTAAAATTTTTTATAAAATTCTTCGTCAGTTTTGTGAAGTGTCTAAAACAAGTTTTTTTGGTCGTCAAGTTTAATTTTTCGATAGCTACTTTTTTAAAATTAATTATTGAGTGCGAAGTCTGTGTTTATAGAAATAGCATTTTTACTAAAATATTTACTTTCAGAACTGGCTCAACAAATTCAGCAAGTGGCGTCAGATTTCGGCGCCTCGTCCCAAGTGAGAAACACCTGTATATTCGGAGGGGCTCCCAAAGGACCCCAAGCCAGAGATCTAGAGCGCGGAGTGGAAATTTGCATAGCAACACCCGGACGTTTAATAGACTTTTTAGAGCGAGGGACAACAAATCTTCGTCGTTGCACGTACCTAGTACTGGACGAAGCAGACAGAATGCTCGATATGGGTTTCGAGCCGCAAATTAGAAAAATAATTGAACAAATCAGACCCGATAGGCAAACGCTCATGTGGTCTGCGACATGGCCAAAAGAAGTGAGAAATCTGGCCGAGGAGTTTTTAACCGAATACATTCAAATCAACATTGGCTCACTGCAATTGGCGGCAAATCACAATATTCTACAGATTGTCGATGTCTGCGAGGAGTATGAGAAGGAGGGAAAACTAATGAAACTCCTGGAGGAAATCTCCAATGAACCGGAAAACAAGACAATCATCTTTGTGGAAACTAAGAGAAAAGTCGATGATATAACGAGGGCTATTAATAGGTACGGATGGCAGGCAATAGGTATTCATGGGGATAAGAGTCAACAAGAGAGAGATTACGTTTTAAATCGTAAGTCAAATTTTTATTTCTACTGTTTATTAGATAACAGGGTGAACGTTGGACCAGGAAATAATGAAGCTTAATGCTGTAAAAGAGAAGAAAAAATATTAAATTTTAAGAAATTTGTTTTTTTTTTAATTTTTGATCATTTTTAATAATTTTAAATTTTATACCAAAGGGTGAAGACTATTAAATAAGTAAAGTGCTTTTGAAGAGCCCAAAAATAATGAAGCTTAATGGCGTAAAAGAGAAGAAAAAATGTTGAATTTTAAAAAAATTGGGTTTTTGAATTTTTGATGATTTTTAATAATTTTAAATTTTTTCCCAAAAAGTGGAGATTTTTATTAAATAAATGAAGTGTTTTTGAAGAGCCCAAAAATATTGAAGCTAAATGGCGTAAAAGAGAAGAAAAATTGTTGAATTTTGAAAAAATTGGGTTTTTGAATTTTTGATGATTTTTAATAATTTTAAATTTTTTACCAAATTGATGGAGATTATTAAATAAATGAAGTGTTTTTGAAGAGCCCAAAAATAATGAAGCTAAATACCGTAAAAGAGAAGAAAAATGGTTGAATTTTAAAAAATTCGGTTTTTGAATTTTTTATAATTTTTGACAATTTTAGATTTTTTACCAAAAAGTGGAGATTATTAAATAAGTGAAGTATTTTTCAAGAGCCCAAAAATAATGAAGCTAAATGCCATAAAACAGAAGAGAAAATGTTGAATTTTAAGAAATTCGGTTTTTCGAATTTTTGAAAAAATTTGATAATTTTAAATGTTTTACCAAAGGGTGAAGACTATTAAATAAGTAAAGTGCTTTCGAAGAGCCTAAAAATAATGAAGCTAAATGCCGTAAAAGAGAAGAAAAAATATTGAATTTTAAAAAATTCGGTTTTTTTGAATTGTTGATAATTTTTAATAATTTAAAATTTGTTACCAAATGGTGGAGACTATTAACAGGGTGTTTATCGGTCAAGGAAGTCAGGAAATGTAAGAGAATATGTCAGTTACCATATTTTAGTTTCAAGAAAGCAGAAATAAAATTAGTAAAAAGTCAGGGAATTATTTGCTCAATCCTTGTTAGACACCCTGAATAATATTGTCACAAAAATTATTCTCTAAATTTGAATTATTAAATATTTGAACTAATTAAAATAAAAGTGATATGACATTTCTAAAAAATAATTTTTTAATTCCAAATAGAACGAAAGATTAAAATACAGTAAAATTCTGTTTTTCTTAGAAAATAAATTTTTTTAAATCCGGATTTTGCATTATATTATATTATTAATATAGTTTGAATTTCAAAAAGTTTTCAATTAAAGATTTAAATAGAAAAGTTGAAATTAAATAAAAATTGAATTAAAAATTTTAAACCTAAGTTAGTTTTTTGGAAACATTTTTATTCACAATTTATTGAAATTACTTGTATTTTTAAATATACAAAATTGAATTGGAAAATTTTCAAATTAGTATTCGAAATTTTTATTAAATTGTTTTGTAAACAAGTGGATTTTAAAATAAATTGTACTATATTTCACCTAAAAGTTGAATTTTTTTTTTGTAAAATAATTGAATTTTCAAGGAACTTTCTCAAAAAAATATTTAAAATAATTGAATTAGAGAAGAATTTTAACTAAAGTTTCCAGAAAATAATTATTGAATTGAAATCTGAAAAATAATTTTTGAGAACTTGATTGAATTTTGATTGAATTTTTTTATGACTGGGAAAAATAATTCATGACTGGGACTTTGTTTTTAAGAAAAAAGCGGTCACCCTGTAATTATTATTCTTAATTTGATCTCCACTTTAGGAGATGTTAATTAAATAATATTCCTTTCAGAATTCCGAGGTAGCAGGTCTGCTATTTTAGTAGCAACAGATGTGGCAGCTCGTGGTTTAGGTGAGATTACAAATTTAGAGTAATCGTATGATGTAAGGGTCAGGCTGTGATGGTTATTAATTTAATTAATTACTCGCGTAATTCACAATAGTTGAAATGTGGTATCGGACAACGGCATGTGCCAGACTGAATTGACACTCATATTCCAACAGCGTGAATGCAGTTTAATGGTAAAAATGCTTTTGAAAAGAAATATACATAGATAAAAGGTGAATTGAATTCAACGATTGGATTTTGGATCTCAAGTCTGAGCAAAAGTAAATATTTTTTTCTTTTCTAACAGATTCAAGATTCGTTTTTTTTTTGTCATAGAGGAGAAAAGTGTCTAATTTTATTTATATTAACAATTAGTTTAGGTAGATTCCAGATATCTTCTCAGTCTTGAATAATCTTTTAGTCTCTCGAAAATTCTCTTTCAGTTTCGAAAAAAAAAAATTGAAAAATATTGTTTTTAGAATTCTTGCGCGTTTCGATTAGAATTATTTGCTCTTGAATGTTGAAAAAAATCTGAACTGAAAAGTAATCTGGAATATTTCAGCGAAAACGAATGTAAGTAAAAAAAAAAAAAAAAATAGAGGAGATAATATGAGAGTTGTTACATTTAATTAGAGAGTTTAACATTTTTAATTAATCTGATCAAGGCGTCTTGTCAGTCTGGTAATAACTTGCTGTTCTATATTTTTTTTTTCAGAGGCACATGCGACGGAGTTTTATCAATGATAACAACTCTGGAGAGCTTGATTTGGAATAATTAAAAAAAATGGGGCGTGACTTCGCCCCCTCTCAACAAGCTAATAACGCTGTGCCTCAGCTTCCCGTGCCACTCAAAAAATAATACACTCTCACTCTGTACCTGCGACGGTCCAAAGTATGGAAGTTTTTTTTTAGTGTTAGGGCATCCAACATGAGATGGCCGCAACCTGTGGAGTTTTTTAAAACCCTTTAGCTCAGGTAGTTGACTCATGGCATCAAGTTTCTCTGCAATACTCAATTTTCTTACAAAAAAAAAAGAATCATTTCTGAAAAGAAATCAAAAAAGAATGATTGAGATCATTCTTGATTGAATTCATTCGTGAAATGATTTTCTTTATAAACGATTTCGTTATTTCGTTATAAACAATTTTCTTTGTCAAAAAAAAAGTTTGAATTTATTCTGAAATAATCGAAGAAATTAGATGGAAAATTTAATTGAAATCAAACTCTTTTGTAGATTCTAAGGGATGAGAAAAATTTCTTTGAAATTGAGATTGCAAAACTGTGTCTTGATGCCGAGTGTTTGACAGATTTATAGATGCTGTATTGGTACAGTATGTGCTCCAACTTCAAGAAAACAAGGAACAGATTTTCAATTATCAGGAAAGGTCCATACTTTGGTGCGGGAGAGAAGGGTGTTTGAGTCCCTAAGACTAAATGTTGGAGCTCGCTACCTGTTGAGCGAGACTCCTTGACAACCATCTGAGCTCTGATTCCTCTACATTTTCAAAAAAATGTATTTACATTTCCAGCCTTTGACAAAAACAGGTAATTAAATAATACACTTGCTCTTTGTGGTCAACTTAGCATGTCTCCAGAGTCACAAATAGGATTTAATAATTAGCTGAAAATGTTTTTTTTTCATTATTCATTCATTTCTATTATTCAGTTTTTGTTTATTATTCGGTTTTTATTTTTTATTTATTTCCATCATTCGATTTTTATTATTTCTTTGTTTCTATTTATTCGGTTTTTATTATTTCTTTGTTTATATTTATTATTCGTTTGTTTCTATTTATTATTCGTTTGTCTCTCTTTCTATTTATTAATCCTATTTGTAGACGAATATTTATAACAAAGTTTCTTATGAAATAATATTCTTTTTTTTTCTCACTGCTTGCTTAGTATTCGCTTTCTAAGTTGATTAAAACCACAAAGAAACAAGTAATGCCTTATTTTTGAGTAACTCGAGTTTTTGTGTAGATGTTGAAGATGTGAAATTTGTTATAAACCTGGACTACCCGTCCAACTCGGAAGACTATGTTCACCGAATTGGGAGAACTGGTCGATCGCAACGTACCGGTACTGCTTATGCTTTCTTCACGCCGGCAAACGCACACAAGGCTAATGATTTGATTCAAGTACTTGAAGAAGCAAAGCAGGTGGTTAATCCGAAATTGTACGAATTGTCAAGAAATCCAGGAATGTACAAACGTGAGTCTAAATTTCTTTAAATTACAGGCTTCGCACTTATCTACTAAAACCTACTGTTTACTACTTTTTTTTACGTTATGCTACTATTTGGGCACATTTTTTTATTTCAGACACTAAAAGCTGCTATTTCTGTTTTTTTTTTGAGAATTTCCACTACTTTAAATTCGCTAAAACTAGAAATAAAAAAAATTATCCTCAAAAATTATAATAAAATTCTGTAAAACGATTCAATTATTTTCAAAAAATATTCGAATTTCAATTATTTTCAATATCTAGTATTTTCATAAAATTTCGCAAAAGAATTCAATTATTTTTTTAAAAAATTAATAAAATTCATCAAAAATTCAATTATTTTCATAAAAAATCAAATTTTCACAGGAATTCAATTAATTAAAATAAAATTTTTAGAATATTTACTATATTTCGAAAAAAGTAATTATTTAAAATAATGTCTATAAAATTTTTATAAAGAATTCAATTCTTTTCAAAAATTAACAAAATTTTTCACAGAAATTCAATTCTCTTTAAACATTTTAATAAAATTCTTCGCAAGAATTCAATTATTTCTATAAATAATAAAATTCATCGCAGGATTTTAATTACTTTTAATACAATTTTAGAGAAATTGCTCAAAAAATGTAATTATTCTTAAAAATTTGATTTCAATTCCTCGAAAAAATCAATTATTTACAAAATTTTTTTAAAAAAATTCTTTGGAAGAATTCAATTATTTACAAAAATATTAGAATTTTTCACAGAGATTTAATTATTTAAAAAAATTTTAATAAAATTGTTCGAAAGAAATCAATTATTCTTAATTAGATTTTCATAAAATTCTTTTCAAGAATTCAATTATTTACATAAATAATTATCGGAAAGAATTCAATTATGTCGATAAATAACAAAATTATTCCCTAATATTCAATTATTTTGAGGCATTTTAATAAAATTCTTTGCAAAATTTAATTATTTTCATAAATAACAATTTTCATCACAAGAATTCAATTATTTTAAAAATAACAACATTTTTCACAGAAATTCAATTCTTTTTAAACATTTTAATGAAATTTTTCGCAATAATTCAATTATTTTTATAAATAATAAAATTCTTCTCAGGAATTCAATTTCTTTTGAAAATTTTAATAACATTTTTTGAAGAAATTCAATTATTTTAAAAAATTCTAATAACATCTTTCGCAAGAATTTAATTATTTTCATAAATAATAACATTCTTCTCAGGAATTCAATTATTTTTGATAATTTTAATACAATTCTTAGCAACTATTCAATTATTTTTTATACAATTTAAGAGAAATTGCTTAAAAATGTAATATTTACAAAAATTATTCTTCGAAAGAATTCAATTATGTCGATAAGTAACAAAATTATTCCCGAAAATTCAATTATTTTGAGGTATTTTAATAAAATTCTTTGCGAAATTCAATTATTTTCATAAATAACAATTTTCATCACAAGAATTCAATTATTTTCAAAACAAATAAAATTCTTTAAAGAAATTCAATTATTTCAAAAAATTCTAATAAAATCGTTCGCAAGAATTCAATTCTTTTTATGAATAATACAAATTTCTCAAGAATTCAATTATTTAAATTAGAATTTTCTTAAAATTAGTCAAAAGAAGTCAATTATTTAAAAATTATTTAATAAAATTCTTCGCAAGAATTGAATTATTTTTATAAATATATTTAAAGTCTTTCATGAATAATAAAATTCTTTTGCAAGAATTCAATTTATTAGCAGGATAAGAAAGAAATAAATATTTTTGATAAAAATTAGGAAAATGTCAGGAAAATGAAAAATATGAAATGGAATTTTTTTTCATTTTTCTAGTGTCTAAAACGAGTTTTTTTTTTGGTCGTCAAGTTTAATTTTACGATAACTACTTTTTTTCTACTTTTTTTAGTTTGAAAGCTACTTTTTTTAAAAATTAATTATCGAGAGTGCGAAGTCTGTAAAAATATTTATCACTAGCTCCGAAAAAAATTCTTTCTTCGAAGCAGGTTTTGTTTTCGAAATTTTTGCTGAAATTATTCTGCTTATTTTCAGGTGGCAGATTTAGTGGCGGAAGGTCAAGTGGTGGAGGTAGTCGAGGCGGAAGCAGTCGAGGAGGCAGTAGTCGAGGGGGCACAGGAGGTGGACGAGGAGGAAGCGGTATGCGAGGAGGCCGAGATAATAACGACCGAGGAAGTGGAAGATTTGACCGTGGAAACGCAGGCGGCGGTGATCGAGGGAAATGGGGCGGTGGTGGAAGTTCTGGTAAATTCAAAATCATCCTCCGACTTTCTAAAGCAAAAATATTAATTGTATTAAGTTTCATATCAAAAATATATTAAACAGAAATAAAATTTAACGAATGTTTTTCAAAAAAATTTTCAAAAAATAATATTTTAATTTAGAAACTATAGTTTCTAAATTAAAATATTATTTTTTGTCGTATTTGAATTCTAAACTATATTCGTTAAATTTTATTTTTGTTTTGAAACTAAAGTTTCTAAATTAAAATATTTTTTTTTTGTCATATTCGAATTCTAAAAACTATATTCGTTAAAAATTGTGTAATATTGTTAATAGGCGGAATGGGGGGCGGTGGATACGGAAACAAATCCTATTCGCAAAATAGTTACGGCGGAAGTGGTAGCGGCAGTGGAGGTTATAGTCAAAACGGCAGCGGATATGGAAATAGCGGCGGCGGAGGCAGTAGTGGCAATTACAGGCAACAAAATGGCTATTAAAAAAAGAGACCTTGAAAAGATAATATTCTTTTAAATATCTAAAAAAAGGAAATCCGACTATGGAATTGAATTCCATGTTCGATGCTTTGCAATATAAAGCATACCAGTTGCCCTAAATAATTCTATATAACTTTTAATTGATAGGTAGATAATGGCGGCTGTGTATATTCATTTTTTTTCCATATAAACTTTACAAGTATAAACATTTTGCTCCAAATGACGATACAAAAAAGAAACTTCTTTTCTGCATAAACTCGGAAAATTTAATTTTCGCCCCACATTCATTGTTGAATTTTTCTCCACCCATTTTTATTTCGATAATGTAAAAATAAGATAAAAATATCTTCCGGAAGAGACAATTTATTTAGAAAGAGTCTAAATGTAGAACATTGTACTCTAAATTTACTCATCTCATAAAATGTGTGAAAATTATTGAAGACTTCTTTTATTTTGAGATATTCTTTTTGTTTTTAATTTTTTAATTTTAGAGATTGTTTTTTTGTTTCAAAAGTATAAATATTTTTCTGACGATATTTTTTTTTATCCAACTTTATCAATATTACAAAAAAAAACCTATTTCTTGTATTTACAAGAATTTCATTAACGTTTTTAAAAACAAAATATGTACTACATTGTATGTATTACATTGGAATATTTTATACCTTAGTTTAAAATACATAAGGGAAAGTGAATAGTTATAAAAAAAATAAATGTAAGGTAAACACGGAGAATATAATAAAAAGATATCGTACTATATGGATTGAAAGTTGTTGCATTCCTTCTAATATCTTAATGATACTTCGTTATGAAAATATGTGACTTTAATATTATTGTACATTTTTACGCGTACTCATTGATAAGGATAAAAAAAAGAATCTCATGAGTGTTAATCAGGAGAGTTTCAACTCTTCATTCCATTGGAGGGAATTTTATTATCTGGAATCATTCGATGTCGTTCAATTTGTAGAGTGGCGAGTAATTTTTTTTTTTTGTTTCAATAAACTCCATTCGGGGAAATTCTCAAGCACTATATTTTAATCGTCTTAAATTTCCTAATAGACAATGACTCATGTTGTGTCTAGAATTTCAGAAAGAGTTCATGTTCCAGTTTCATGTATTCAATAAACAATGACTAGAATATTAATCAATTCTTTTTCTCAACTATTATTGTAATAAACTATTATTTTTCTACTTATCTAATAGTTAGAATAATAGTTGATTTTTTAAAAATGTTCTTTTGAATTAGTCTCTTGACTGATAATAATATTTAATTAGGTAATTATCGATTTGACAATTTTAGTATTAAATTAATGTTAAATTTGTAATATTTTTTAATTACTGATATAATTTTTTTTATTTTTTTTACTAAAAATAATATTACTTTTCAATATTTTTTATAACTATAATGTTAATTTTTTAAAATATTTTTTAATATACAATAAGATGTAGAAGTTGTTGATCAGTGTCAATTTTTAAATAGTCAAAGATGTATAATTTGTCATATTTTATTCGTCTGATCATATTTTTTAATATAGTTTAATATTTTTTAATTTCGTTTTTAATATTTTTTTAATTACATTTTTAATAGTAATAAAGATATATTAATAAAGAACATACAGAATGTTCTTGTATTTAATATTTTAATGATGAAGATTATTAACGCATTATCATATTTTATTTAAGGTAATTAGTGATACTGTTTCTATTCACAAATTTATTAATTAATAATTAATAATGATTAATTATTATAAGAAAATTGTGTACAGGAACAATAAATAAGAAGAATTGCCTCTGATGATGATGTTTAATGACGTCGATCAATGAAGGTCAAAGAGTGGGAGTACTGCAAATTTGGACTACAACATTCCGGCACTACTGTATAGGAAAATTTTAATTTTGCGCTTGTGTTGGGCTGCGCATGTTTCAAAGCCATACAGCCACACTGATATATCTGACGAAACAGTGATGCGTTGTATATTGAGGTGTGCGGTTGTCGTGTCAGACCGAATTTAAGGTTATATATATTCTCCAAAAAGCAAATAACTATATTTAATAAATGAATAATATTGATAATTACTTTTCTATCATTCGTTCATAAAATTTACCAACTTTCTCAAGTCTAATAATGTCGGAAAAGAAAGCGGAAATTCGTGTTTGGTGCGATGGATGGTAAGTCTACGTTATTTTCATTTTTTCTAAATATTTATGTTTTGAAAGTGTTTTTTTTTTACAAATTTATACATTAATTTAGTTTTCGCTTTAATTATTTTCGTTTTTTAAAAATAATTCAATTGGTTAATAATCGTTTTTCGTAAAGTTGATTTAGTCAACAATTTTTTTTTTTAAATATCAAATTGTTAGTTTATTTTTTTCGGTGTTATTTTCCAAATACAGTATAGCATTGGGAACTATCTTCGCAAATATGCAAATTATCTGTTTTAGTATATTTGTATGCAGAGGCAATCAATTTTTAGTGCTAAGGTTATGACTATATATCACCTTGGATATTAACAGTATATTTTAACGATTTTGAGAAAAAATTGAATAAAAAATACATTTTTGTATATATTTTTTCAATATTATTTCCTTTAATCTTTTTTAAGATTAGAGTGAAAAATAGTTTTAGAAATTTTTCTGCAATTGCAATTGAAACCGCGCGTTAAATTATCAACTTTATTTCTGGTTCATTGAAGAAGTATGTTAAATTATCACGCGATTTTCATGATAATTAACGAGATTGTCCTTATATACTGACATTTTTCAATTGATTTCAGCTATGATATGGTGCACTTTGGACATGCGAATTCACTACGTCAGGCGAAAGCTTTAGGAAATTATTTAGTTGTCGGCGTTCATACAGATGAGGAAATTTCAAAGCATAAAGGTCCTCCTGTTTTTACGCAAGAGGAAAGGTAAAAATCTCAATTTTTCTTAATTTAGAAGATTTAGAAGGAAATGCTCTTGAATAAATAAATTATACGTTAGCGTAAATTATAATAAAAAAAATTTAAATACAACTGAAATTTAAAATTGTAAACTTGAACTTTAGAATTCTCAACTATTTCATAATAAAATAAAATTAATATTCAAGAAATAAAAAAATTCATTTATTGGAAAAAACGAAGAAAAAAAAACATAATCTTGAAAAAAACCTGTTTTATAAAATTTAATGTATAACAACACAAGCATGTTTCGTGAATCAGCGAAATAGCTCATAAATTGCATTACATGATAAATTGTTTCATATTATTCAAAGTTGAAGTATGCCTCTCCGTTTTATCGAATGCGTAAATATTTCCTATTAAATTTTTCCGTCGTAAGTATATATAAGTACACTGAATTGTTTCTATAGACCTTGAATTGAAAATTTTCAATTTATAATCTCAATGAATTGTATTGCTATTTATAAATTTGAAAATTTATTTCTTTTTTTTGTATTTCAGATATAAAATGGTACGTGGTATTAAATGGGTGGATGAAGTAGTGCAAGGTGCTCCCTATGTTACGACTTTGGAAACTTTGGATAAATATAATTGCAATTTTTGTTGTCATGGAGATGACATCACAATGACAGCGGATGGAGTTGACACTTATCATCTCGTGAAAGCCGCTGATCGTTACAGGTTATTATTTTCAATGAAATTAAAAATTATGATAAAGGAACTTATCAACTAAACGTGTTTATCAGTATATTTACTCAGGCCTTGGATATTGATGACTTTTTCAACTATTTTCAAAAAATGCGACTTTTTACGACTTATTTTCAAAAATTACGACTTTTTCGACTTTTCTTTCAAATATTGCATTTTTTATTTTCCGTATTTTGTATTTTCTGTATTTTTTACTTTCTGTATTTTTTATTTTCCGTATTCTGTATTTTCTGCACTTTCTGTACTTTGTATTTTCTGTATTTTTTATTTTCTGCATTTTTTTATTTTCTGAATTTTTTTATTTTTTGTGCTTTGAATTTTCAGTATTTAGTATTTATGCATTAAATTTCCTTTTATAGAGAGGTTCAGAGAACTGCTGGTGTTTCGACGACAGATCTCGTGGGCCGAATGCTTTTAATGACGAGGCAACACTTCAAACAGGGTGACAGTGAATACAGTGTTGATCGTGAGCCAAGCAAAAGTATGGGACAAGATAAGACGGCTCGAAGTCCATGGACCGGATGCTCGAAATTTTTACCAACGACACAGAAAATCACTCAATTCAGCGATGGAAAGAGTCCACAGCCAGACGATAAAGTCGTCTACGTGGCTGGTGCTTTTGATCTCTTTCACGTTGGTCATTTGGACTTTTTGGAAGTGGCGAAAAAAGAGGGCGACTATCTTATCGTTGGACTACATACAGATCCCGCTGTAAATAAATACAAAGGAGGCAATTATCCCATTATGAATCTTCACGAGAGAGTTCTTAGCGTCTTAGCATGTAAAGTGAGTATTCCCAATTTTTTTTTCAGCTAAAAAGCAGGCCTCGGATAGGATTTTTCGACTATTTCAGGCATCACAGTACAAATTGTACAAATCACAGAAACAAATTCCCCTTTTCACCTTTTTTTTTGAGGAAAAAAGGTGAAAAGGGGAATTTTTTTCCTCAAAAAGGGGACAAAAATTTATTTGTTTATACAACTTGCATATATATAATTTCAATTTTTTATCAAATAGCTTCTATAAAATTTTATAAAAATGATTCGATTTTAATCAAAATTGACACAAAAATTTAATTTCGTTTTTCCCTAACTTCTCCCTGCTTTCTAAACAAAATTTTGACTTTTCCCCTAAAGAATATTCTGCGATTCACTCTAAAAATGATTAGATACTCAAAAAAATGTTTTATTACATTTATTTACGAATTTCTTTAACTGTAAAATTATTCGAAAACAGTAATAACTTTTTTTTTTTAAATATTTAATAACAATTATTTTTCCATATAAATTAACATTTTAAAACATTCAAATTCAAATATTTTTGAAATTCAACAATTTATGAGAATATTATTATAAAACATAAAGAAAGTGATGACTCCGAGTCGAAGACTCGGAGTTATCACTTTCTTCATGTTTTATAATAATTAAAGATGACCGAGAGATAAGATCATTATTTTCTTCTGTAAGAAATATTTTTACTGTAACTTCTTCAAAATTATTTTTATCATTTCCATTCAATTATTATTTTCTAGAATTTTTAACTAAAATTCTTCTCCAAATGAATTATTTTCAATAATTTTTATAACAGTTTTGAGAATTTAATAATGTATTTGTTTACAATTAAATTTTACGAAATTTTATCGATTATTCGGAAATTCTTCAATTAATATATAATTTGAAAATAAAAACTTCGAATAATTTCAATGAAACTTTTTGAAAAAAATGAATTCTACAAAATTGTTAGTTAAAAATATGAAAAATTCAGATTTTTAAAGATTTCAATTTGAAACTTTTTCAAAATTCAAATGTTTATAAAAATTCACGCTATAATGCTTCCAATATTCAATTATTATGTAAAATTTTAACTGAAATTCACTTTTAAATCAATTTCCATTAGAAAATTTTACGATAATTCAATTATTTAAATATAAAATAATTTATATTGAATAATTAAATGTTTCTTAATATTGAATTCTCATATAGAATTTCATCAACAAATTTTTAAATAATTAAATACTTTCGACGAATTTAAATAAAATTTTTAAAAATAATAACATTAAATAATTGAATAATTGTGAAGAAATTTATAAAAATTTATAAATAATTGAATTTCTGTGAAATTTTTATTATTTATGAAAATAATTGAATTTCTTCCAAGAATTTTGTAGAATAATTTTTAAATAATTTAATTCCAACTAAGAATTTTGTTCTTTATAAAAATAATTGGATTCTAACGAAGAATGTTGTTATTCATAAAAATAATTAAATTCTTGTCAAGAACTTTATTAAATGTTTTGAAAAAAACAATTTTTACAAAGAATTTTATGATAATTTTTTAAAATAATTGAATTCCTGCTGAAAATTTTGTTGTTTTTGAAAATAATTGAATCTCTGCGAAGAATTTTATAAAAAATATTTTTAAATAATTGAATTCCTGCGAAGAACCTTGTTTTTTATGATAATAATAATTGAATTTTTCTGAAGAATTGTGTTATTTATCAAGATTTTTGTTATTCATTATTTATGAAAGTAATGGAGTTATTACAAAGAAATTAAAAAAAAATTTATAAATAATTGAATTCCTGTAAAATTATTTTATTATTTATGAAAATAATTAAACGTTTGCGCAGAATTTTAATAAATTTTTTTCTAAATAATTGAATTCTTTTGGAGAAGTTGATTAAAATAGAAGATATTGAATAGCATTGAATTTAGGAAAATTTTTGTAAATAATTGAAATTTTGCCAAGAATTTTATTAAAATTTTTGAAAATAATTGAATTTTGAAGAAGAATTTTATTATTTCGTAAGATAATTGAAATCTTGATGAGAATTTTTAAAAATTTTTGAACAGAATAATATAAATAAAATTATTCATTAAATAATTTCTAAGTTATAATTTTATGATAGTTCTTCAAGAATTCAGTTATTTAAAAAGAAATTATTGTCAGAAATAGAAAAAATTGAAGGTTTTCTATTAGAATTTTTATTTTTCTAGAAAAAACTATTAACTAATAAAATCATTGAATTTAGGAAAATTTTTGTAAATAATTGAATTTTTGCCAAGAATTTTATTAAAATTTTTGAAAATAATTCAATTTTGAAGAAGAATTTTATTATTTCTAAAGATATTTGAAATTTTGAAGAGAATTTAATTGAATTAATTGAATTGAATTTTTGGAATCATTTAAAACTTTTCAAAAATTCAAATTTTGTAGTGTTTTTAACTAAAATTTCTCGTTAATTTCTTTATTTTTAATAATTAATTAAATTTATATATATTATAAAATTTGACTAATTTCAGAATAATTTAAATTTTGAAAATTTTTGCAAAAATTTAAGTTCTTTAGAATTTCTAATAAAATTCATTCAAAATTGAAATTTTATAAAATTTGAAATTAAAATGTTTTGAACTTCATCTATTTATGAAAATTGTAAACGCAACTATTTTAAAATTCAATTAATTTTAAATCTATAAATAAAATTATTTATTAAATAATTTCTAAGATATAATTTTATTATATTTCTTCAAGAATTAATACCACTTTTTTCAACTTTATTTCCATAAAATTAAAAATACGACATTTTCGACTTTTCTTTTGAATATTGCAAAAAACTACCGTTTTTTTTTGGAATTAAAATTCAACTTATTTCAATTTTGGTAATGTGAAAAATGGAAAATGAAATTTTTCTGAATTTGAACCGAATAAAACTTTTATGCGCCTTATAGTCGATCCGAGACGTGCAAAAACTAAAATTTATTGTGAAAATATTAATTTATTTTTCTTTAATATTATTGAATTTAATATTTATTTCTTCAATTTTAGTTTGTAAATGAAGTGGTGATAGGAGCGCCTTACGAAGTGACGAAAGAATTAATGGAGCACTTCAACGTGTCAATTGTCTGTCATGGAAAAACGCCAATAGTTCCTTGTGAGAATGGCACCGATCCCTACGCAGAGCCCAAGAGGCAAAACAAATTTAAATTGGTCGACAGTGGCAATGACATGACAACGGAAAAAATTGTCGAAAGGATTATTCTTCACAGGTGAGTTTTTTTTTGGCACTGAAATGCACTCATTTCACAGAGAGAATTTTCTTTTTTCATTAATATTATTTTTGCAATTGTTTATATTTTTATATTTTATTAATTTATTAATTTATTCACAATTCTGTTTATTCACAATTTTATTTATTGTTGCTTGCTCCTTTTTATCCAAATTATTTTCAGTTATCACTGAATGTAGTTTTGTTTTTTTAACACCCATTTGTAGGTCTGAGGAACTTCGAACAATCATTAAGAATTTGAGCTCGAAAAGATAATTTCCATATACATTGCATCTTCCTGTTTTTGTATAATTAACCTATTTTGGTTTTTCAAATAAATGTCTTTTTTTCGTAATGCTAACGCTTTTTAATTTCTTTTTTATTCATCCATTATTTGTGGAATCATTCTTCATGGGATATGTAAAAAGGGAAAAAAGCGAGAATGACTATTTTTTTCTTTATTTGCATATCTCAAAGATTAATTCCTATTCTATATTATTTAATTAGCGTATAATTGCAGGTTAAAATTTGAAGATAGAAATATAAAGAAGGAGAAAAAAGAAATTGCCGCCTATGAAGCATTCATCGAGTCTCAAAAGAAAGCGAAAGCAGAATGATTTTTATGATGGAATTTATTTGTAAATATGAAACTACCTACGTTAATTTTTTCTTATTTATTATTACGTGACTTATAAAAATTACTTTTTTTTCTATTTTTAAAACAAAAAACTTTTAGTGGTTAAATCTAATTATTTAATAAAATTTAATATTTAATTTAATTTAATTTAATTTAATTTGATTTAATTTCAATTAAATTAAATTAGATTTAATTAAATTTGATTATTCAATTAAATTTAATTTCTGAATTAAATGTACAACTTGAACTATTCTACTAAAGTGAAAGCTAGATCGTTTTTTAAAATCAATTTTTCGAATATAACGAGTAACATTCGACTCATATGTTCAAAAATATTTTTTTTTTTATTGTGTAAATTATTTAATCTATGTAAATCACCATGTGACTGAAAAAGTAAATTTTTAAACTACCTCTTTCTCGACGAGAAAAACTTTTAGAGAACGTTGTAATTAATATTATGAAGTACCAGATAAAAAGATCATATCAAAATCAAGAAATTAACGACTAGAATTTGTGCTACACGTTTTTAATTGAATTATATTTAAAATTTTCCATAAAGAATAATTATTTTTTTTTGAAATCCATTTTGGAGACTTAATTTATTAAAAATTACATTTTCGAGAAAATTGAACTCTTCTAATTTTTACTTGAATCAAAATTACCTTTAAGACAATTTTATTAAGTGTAAAAAATTATATTAAAATAATTTATTTTTATTTAGTTGTATATTTATAAAATAAATTGTGCTCTGGTAGCAAATATTACTTTAAGAAATTATATGTTATCGAATTCTATTTTTATTTACGCAACAAAAAAATGTTTTTTTTTTCCAGAAAAATAAAGACAAATTTTGTGGAAATTTTTTATTTTCAATAATAATTTAAATAAATATAAAAATCTTATTACTACAGTTTATAATCGTTCACTATTCATTTAAACTTTCTTGTGTTCAAGACTGTTTTGGCGCACACTTATAAATAAATTAAGTAATAAATATTATTATGTAGAAAAAAATTTTCATATTTATGATGCGCTTAATTTGTACCAAAAAAAAAAAAAATGATTTATATGTACAGAGTTTATTACTAAAACAGTTTTAAAGCTTAAATTCTCTCTATTCATCAAACAAATACTTAGTGTATTTAACAATTTTTTTTTTTACTAATAAACTCTAAATTCAATTGCATCAAAAATTCCTTCAGGTCACGAAATAGCATTGCGTTATTTGGAGAAAAAAAATCAGTACAGTATTTGTCATATTAAAACAAACAATATAATACTCCATTTTTAGAGAGAAGATTTGTCTTAAAAATAAGTTTTTAATTGTGTTTAATTAAAAAAATATCTCAGTTTATAAGAAAATAAAACCACCAAAGATTTTACGAATGATTCTCTTTTTTTTTGTCGTGTATTTGAAAATTAGTTATTTATTGTATAGTTGATCGAGCAGTGTAACCGGACGATGGTTCGTAATATTTTCTAGCACGATCTCTGACAAGTTCGTCGATGGTTTTATTGTGAGGTAATTGGGAAATACTTTGGAGACGAGACGCCAGATAGCACATAATTAAAGCAGAAAGGACCAACAAGGCCCCAAGGCCTGTTGCCACGTAAAGGAAACTTCCACAACTGCTTTCGAAACCTGATGTCATCCTGTCGTAAACATCTGAAAATATCAAATTAATTTTGTTGATTTATAAAAACACGTGTGTCGAGGCAAAAAAAAAATGTTTTGAAACAAAATTACTGAAAGTAAATTACTAGTGAAAGTATTTTACGATTTTCAGGCATCACAGTTTGTCCCCTTTTGTCCCCTTATTTCAATTTTATCAACTTTTTCATCTTTTTGACGATTTGTCACCTTTTTCACCTTTTTCTAATAAAAAATAAACAAGTTTTTCTTTTTTTGAAATCTTTTTCAAAGTATAATCATAAAATTTAGACTCAAAGTTATAGAATTCAGTGCGTTTTATATCCGATTTAGATTATTAACACCACAACATAATATAAATATGTTTTTTATGTTAATGATTTAAATAATATAGATTTCGTAAAGAATTTTATAAATTGTAAGGTGGTTCATTCAACCGAATGCAGACCTTTAGAAAAATAATTAATTAACATTCAAATAATTAAAATATTATTAGTTAATAGTTTTTTCTAGAAAAACAAAAATTCTAATACAAAACCTTCAAATTTTTCCATTTCTTACAATAATTTCTTTTTAAATAACTTAATTCTTGAAGAACTATCGCATAAAATTATAACTTAGAAATTATTTAATGAATAATTTTATTTATACATTTCAAAATTAATTGAATTTTAAAATAGTTGCGTTTACAATTTTCATAAATACATGAACTTTAAAACATTTTAATTTCAAAATTTATAAAATTTCAATTTTGAATGAATTTTATTAGAAATTTTAAAGAACTTAAACTTTTGCAAAAATTATCAAAATTTAAATTATTCTGAAATTAGTTAAATTTTTTAATATATGCATTTAATTAATTATTAAAAATAAAGAAATTAACGAGGAATTTTAGTTAAAAACACTAAAAAATTTGAATTTTGGAAAAGTTTTAAATGATTCCAAAAATTCAATTATTTTCAAAAGTAATAAAATTCTTCGCAGAAATTCAATTATGTTCAGAAATTTTTAAAATTTTCGTCAAAATTTCAATTATCTTTAGAAATAATAAAATTCTTCTTCGAAATTCAATTATTTTCAAAAATTTTAATAAAATTCTTGGCAAAATATCAATTATTTTCAAAAATTTTCCTAAATTCAATGATATTCAATATCTACTATTTTAATCAAATTTCTCCAAAAGAATTCAATTATTTAAAAAGAATTTTATTAAAATTCTACGCAATCGTTTAATTATTTTCATAAATAATAAAATAATTTCACAGGAGTTCAATTATTTATAAATTTCTTTTTAATTTCTTCGTAATAACTCCATTACTTCCATAAATAATGAATAACAAAAATCTTGATAAATAACAAAATTTTTCAGAAAAATTCAATTATTATTATCATAAAAAACAAGGTTCTTCGCAGGAATTCAATTATTTAAAACTTTTTTTTATAAAATTTTTTGCAGAGATTCAATTATTTTCAAAAATAACAAAATTTTCAGCAGGAATTCAATTATTTTCAAAAATTATATTTCTTTGTAAAAATTGTTTTTTTCAAAACATTTAATAATGTTCTTGACAAGAATTTAATTATCTTTATAAATAACAACATTCTTCGGAAGAATTCAATTATTTTCATAAAGAACAAAATTCTTAGTAGGAATTAAATTATTTAAAAAATTTTTTTACAAAACTCTTGGAAGAATTTCAATTATTTTCATAAATAATAAAAATTTCACAGAAATTCAATTATTTATAAATTTCTTCACAATAATTCAATTATTTACATAAATAATCGAACTCATCGCATAATTTTAATTATTTTTAGTACAATTTTAATCAAATACTCGAAAAATGTTATTATTTTTAAAAATTTTATTTAAATTCGTCGAAAGAATTTAATTATTTAAAAATTTGTTGATGAAATTCTATATGAGAATTCATTATTAAGAAACATTCAATTATTCAATATAAATTATTTTATATTTAAATAATTGAATTCTCGTAAAATTTTCTAATAGAAATTGATTTAAAAGTGAATTTTAGTTAAAACTTTACATAATAATTGAATATTAAAAGCATTATAGCGTGAATTTTTATAAACATTTGAATTTTGAAAATGTTTCAAATTGAAATCTTTAAAAATCTGAATTTTTCATATTTTTAACTAACAATTTTGTAGAATTCATTTTTTTCAAAAAGTTTAATTGAAATTATTCGAAGTTTTTATTTTCAAATTATATATTAATTGAAGAATTTCCGAATAATCGATAAAATTTCGTAAAATTTAATTGTAAACAAATACATTTTTAAATTTTCAAAATTTTTATAAAAATTATTTGTAAATAATTTATTTAAAGAAGAATTTATTTTAGTTAAAAATTCTAGAAAATAATAATTGAATGGAAATGATGAAAATAATTTTGAAGAAGTTACAGTAAAAATATTTCTTACAGTTAAAAATTATGATCGTATCTCTCGGTCATCTTAAATTATTATAAAATGGTTGAATTTTAAAAAGATTTGAATTTGAATGCTTTGAAAATCTTAATTCCTATGGAAAAATAATAATTATTAAATATTTAAAAAAAAAGTATCGCAGAATATTCTTTAGGGGAAAAGTCAAAATTTTGTCTCAAAATCAGGGAAAAATTAGGAAAAATAAAAATTAAATTTTTGTGGCAACTCTGATTAAAATCGAATCATTTTTAAAAAATTTTATAGAAGCTATATGATAAAAAATTGGAATTATATATGCAAGTTGTACAGACAAATAAATTTTTGTCCCCTTTTTGAGGAAAAAAATTCCCCTTTTCTGAGGAAAACCTTTTTTGAGGAAAAAAGGTACTGTGATGCCTGGATTTATAAACAAAAAATATGCAAAGAGTTGTAAAATACTTTTAATGAGGAAAAATAATTGAAAATAGTTACCGTCTGGCATCATGACGGTATACTCGATATTTTCCTTGAATTTTGTGAAAGGAGTCGAATCATTGTATTTTTGAATTAATCTCTCAACCCTCGGGAAGGACAAATCTTTCTCTGAATCTTCTTTTTCGGACGTTCTTCTTCTGCGTTTTCCATGTCCTGACGGTTCGAACAAATCCAGACAGAAATCCTGAAAAAACGATTTTTTTCTTTCCAGTAAAATATTTCTATCGAAGCAACATTTTGATATCAAATTGAGACAAAAAAAAAAGTATCAATTTGATATCCTTAAAAAAATTGGATTAAATTAATGGATGATAAATTTTACCGGTTGACAGTCCTGGGGTTCCATACACGCCTTAATTTGCGAATGAATCCAAAGTGTTGATCTGTCTCTCATTGAACTCAGGAGAAATGCTTCGAAATCAAGGAAGACTTCATTTTTTTTGTCACGATATCGAGCCGGCTGATGGGGAATAATCGAGGCGAAATCACGATTTCTGCAACCGTCCTTCACGAGGAAAACACTTCCTGGAGCGTGTGGCTGATCGGGATCGGGACTGACTGTGACTTCTAAAAGTTTTATGAAACCCCATGCACTTTCGGCGCTGATGCGAGCTCTCAATTGTAATTTAGTGCCAATCGGAACGGCCTGATCGACCGTTTGGGAACTTTGATTCGGATCAGATGAATTGCCAGCGGCCTCACGATAAAGTGCAACTTCGTACTCCAAACGTCCTGGTGTCTCTTCCACTACTCCAGAAACTCTCGCTCCATGTGGACTGTAATTATTTAATTCTGAGTTGAATTCATTTTATTCCGCTGATTTTAATCGAAATTAATTTTATGAACTGAATTTCATTGATAAAAATTTTCTATTTAATTAAAATTCGAATTCTAAATTCTTGTCAGATTTATTATTAATCAAATTGATTTTATCAAGAAGTATTTTCTATTTAATTAAAACTCGAATTCTAAATTCTAAATTCTTGTTGAATTAATTTTATTAAATAGATTTTATCAATAAAAATGTTTACAATTTAATTAAAATTCGAATTTTAGATTCTAAATTCTTATCGCAGATGAATTTTATTAAGAAAATTTTTCTATTCAATGTTAAAATTCTAATTTTAAATTCTACATTCATGGCGAATTAATTTTATAAAATAACTTTTATCAAATTGATTATAGGGTGAAAAATTTTCAATTTAATTAAAATTCGAATTTCGAAAATGCAGCACTCACAAGGTTCCAGCGAATCCGGCAGCTTTGTGCCTCAATAATGTTGGCTCCGGTGGACGACACATTAAAATTAATTCCTGATCTGCAAGCATTACGACTCCAGGAAATGCCGGGAACCACACCCTGAGATGAATGAATCCCTATTTGCAGAGAATAAAAATTATAGACACATTTCCTTTTTTAGATTTCAACCAATAAAAGCTAGTCATTCTGTTTTTTTTAGAGAATTTCCACTACTTTAAATTCGTTAATATTGGAAATCAAAAAACTATTCTCGAAAATTATAATCAAATTCTTTAAAACGAATCAATTATTTTCAAAAAATATTCGAAATTCAATTATTTTCAATATCTAGTATTTTTATAAAATTTCGCAAAAGAATTCAATTATTTAAAAAAAAATTGATAAAATTCATCCAAAATTCAATTATTTTCATAAATAATCAAATTTCCACAAAAATTCAATTAATTTAGAATTTTCAATAAAAATTTCGAAAAAATCTATTATTTAACAGAATTTTAATACAATTCTTCACAAAAATTCAAATACTTTCACTAATAATAACATTTTTAATGTAAATTCAATTTTTTAGAAAAATTTCGATAAAATTCTAAACAAGAATTCAATTATTTTCATAAATAACAAAACTCATCGAAGAATTTCAATTATTTTTAATACTAGTTTAAATTAATTAAACGAAAAATTCAATTATTTTCACAAATAAAGTTTTCCACAAGAATTCAATTATTTAAAATAAAATTTTCATAATATTTATTATATTTCGAAAAAATTAATTATTTGAAACAATGTTTACAAACTTCTTAAAAAAAAATTCAATTATTTTCAAAAATACCAAAATTTCTCACAGAAATTCAATTATTTTAAAAAATAATAAAATTCTTCTCAGAAATTCAATTATTTTTGAAAATTTCAATAAAATTCTTAGCAACTATTCAGTTATTTTCATAAATAATACAATTCATCGCAGAATTTTAATTATTTGTAATAAAATTTTACAGGAATTGCTCACAAAATATAATAATTATTAAAAATTTAATTTCAAATCCTCGAAAAAATCAATTATTTAAAAAAAAGTTTTTTTAAAATTCTTTGGAAAAATTCAATTATTTACAAAAATATTAGAATTTTTTACAGTAATTTAATTCTTTTCAAATATTTTAATAAAATTTTTCGCAAGAATTCAATTATTTTAAAAAATAATAAAATTCTTCTCAGAAATTCAATTATTTTGGAAATTTTTTTTAAATTTTTAGCAACTATTCAATTATTTTCATAAACAATAAAATTAATCGCAGGATTTCAATTATTTTTAATATAATTTTACAGGAATTGCTCACAAAATATAATTATTCATAAAAATTTAATTTAAAATTCTCGAAAAAATCAATTATTTTCAAAAATGTTTTTTTTTAATTCTATTGAAGAGTGCAATTATTTACAAAAATATTAGAATTTTTTACAGGAATTCAATTCTTTTAAAATATTTTAATAAAATTGTTTGAAAGCAATCAATTGTATAAAATACAATTTTAATTTAATTTTTTTTAAATAATTCAATTATTTTTTAGATTTTAATAAAATTAATCCCATGAGTTCAATTACTTATATAAATAATTCTTTAAAAGAATTTAATTATGTCGATAAATAACATAATTATAAATTCAATTATTTTAAACAATTCTAAAAAAAACGTTCTCAGAATTCAATTATTTTCACAAATAATTAAATGCTTTTTAGGAATTCAAATATTTTCAAAAAAAAATAATAAAATTTTAATATTAACAATTTTTATAAAATTACCAAACAGAATTCAATTATTCAAAAAATTTTTGTAAAAATCTAAGAATTCCATTTTTTCAGGAATAATAAAAATTCCTTATAAATTCAATTATTTAAATTAGAATTTGAATAAAATTAGTCGAAAGAAATCAATAATTTAAAATTTTGTATAAAATTCTTATCATGAATTAAATTATTTACAAAAATAATTCTTGGAAAGAATTCAATTATGTCGATAAATAACAAAATTATTCCCGAAAATTCAATTATTTTGAGGCATTTTAATAAGATTCTTTGCAAAATTCAATTATTTTCATAAATAACAATATTTATCACAAGAATTCAATTATTTTTAAAAGTAATCAATTTCTTCTTAGAAATTCAATTATTTAAAAAAAATTCTAATAAAATCGTTCGCAAGAATTCAATTATTGTCAAAAAGTTTAATTGAATTCTTTGTGAAATTTAATTATTTTTAAAAACTTTTCGCAATTCAATGATTTTTAATATCAACAATTTTCATAAAATTACCAAACAGAATTCAATTATTTAAAAAATTTTCGTAAAAATCTAAGAATTCAATTCTTTTCATTAATAAGAAAAATTTCTCAGGAATTGAATTATTTAAATTAGAATTTGCATAAAATTAGTCGAAAGAAATCAATTATTGAAAAATTTTTATAAAATTCTTCGCAAGAATTACATTATTTTTATAAATATTAAAATTCTTTCATGAATAATATGAAATTCGTTACAGGAATTCAATTTATTAGCAGGATAAGAAAGAAGTAAATATTTTTTGATGAAAATTAGGAAAAAGTGAGGAAAATAAGAAAAATAGAATCGAATTTTTGTCAGTTTTGTAAAGTGTCTAAAACGAGTTTTTTTTTGTCGTCAAGTTTAATTTTTCGATAATTACTATTTTACAATTTTTTTTAAGTTTGAAAGCTACTACTTTTTGCTACTTTTTGAAAATTAATTTTCGATTGCGAAGTCTGTATTAATAAAAATTAATAATAAATTAATAGTCATAAATAAAAAAAAATAAATTAATATAAGTAAATATTAATAAAAAGTAATAAAAAAGAATGATATTAAAATTATATAAAAAATAAGAAATTACAAAGCAAAGATTGTATATTTTCGAAATTTTGTAAAGAATTTTATTAAAATGCCTCAAAATAATATTGAATTTTCGAAATTTGGAGTAAAAATTGAAATAAAGATTTAATATTTGCTATATTCCAGGAACAAAGACGGATTTGCACTCACATTTCTCTTCAAGATTCCGCAACGAGTGAAGTCCGTCACTTTCAAGAAATAATTATCCTCCTGCGGATCATTAGGATCTGGCCTTATTTGACAATTAATATCTGTGAGAGGGTCAGCGGCTCTGTCATCGGCAAAGAGAGGAGCACCTCTAAAACCAACAGGCCTTTTTATTTTTGCAGTTAATAAATCATTGGCCGAGCCTGCCCCACCGCATTGGATCTCCGAGACTTCATAATCTTGAGCAACCGTTGCAGCGACCTGCGGGAGAAAAAAAAAATTCATAAATCACCTCGAGAGCTAAAATTGGAACAAAATCTGTTATTTATTTCCGTTCAAGTTTATTTAATTCAATCTTTGGTACTATTAACATTTCAATATTTCCCCAGCTGAAAAGTAAAATTATTCCTTCTCTCTTTTTTCAAAAAACAATAATTTTCTAGACAAAGCGATTAAATAATATTTAAATAATAATTATTTAATTATCCAGACAAATCGATTAAAAATAAAAAATCTCTAAAGAGAAATAATTTTCAAAAATTATCCATATAGACAATTATCGATTATTATTATAGAAAATAGAGATTATGAAAAGAAGCCAATTACAAGGGAGAAAATGATGATGAGATTGAGATAGAAATGATTTTTTATTAAAATTATATGCAATAAAAAAAATATAAATTGCTAAAAATGATTATGCGAACTCGGAAGTGCGATAATTACAGCGAGAGAGACGTGTAAGTGTTCTAATTTTCATAAATGTGTGAAGCCGTTCAATCTGAGTTCCGCACGTGCTAAAATTGCACGCTACTATCATTATCAGTCGTGGCAAGTTTTACGAGCGAACTAGTGAATGTGTATTCTGAACTTTACTTCTTCAGGAGTAACGGGTGTTGTAAAAGAGACGCTCTACTGAACACCATAAGATTTTCTCTATCCAACTTGGCCATATATCAACACTGACACCGAAATATAGCCAAGATTTACATCGGTTTAAATGCAATTACAAATCCACAAGTGGAAATATCTATCTGTATTTGTGAAAAAAATTTGCCACTGACCAATGCGTAGAGAGAAAGAGAAGAGAGAAAAAGGAAAAATAAACAAAAAGAAAAATTATTTTATGGAGCACCTTGATATTATCCACATTCATAATCTCGAAGTGAAATATTTTCAAGGATTCTCTAACACGCGAAAATAAATGTTTCTCATTGATATTTTTATATCAAATCTCGGAGGTTTTTTTTTCTTTTCTTTTTTTATTCGGAAAGTGTTGAATATCGCTTCAATTTGTACGAAATTTATTTCAATTTTAATTTATTGTTTAAATAAATAGAGAAATAAAGAAAAATGAATAGATTAAATAAAAAAATTAAGAAAGTGAGAAATAAAAAAAAATAAAAAGAGAAATATAGAAATCTAATATCTAATATAAAAATAAAATAGAAAAAATAGGAAGAAATAGAAATAAAAAAGTAAAGAGAAAGAGAGAGAGAGAGAGAAAAATATAAACAAAAAAATAACGAAAGAAAGAAATAGAAATAACATTTTTCATGGAAATACGTTTTTTTTTAAATTTTTGATAAAATTTTTCGTAATAATTCAATTATTTTCGCATAAATAATAAAACTCATCGAAGAATTTCTATTATTTTTAATACTATTTTAAATTAATTAATCGAAAAATTCAATTATTTTCACAAATAAAGTTTTCCACAAGAATTCAATATTATTTAAAATAAAATTTTCATATTATTTATTATATTTCGAAAAAATTAATTATTTAAAACAATTTTTATCAAATTCTTATAAAGAATTCAATTATTTTCAAAAATAACAAAATTTTTCACAGAAATTCAATTATTTTAAAAAAATAATAAAATTTTTCACAGAAATTCAATTATTTTAAAAAATAATAAAATTCAGATATTTTTGAAAATAATAAAATTCTTCTCAAAAATTCAATTATTTTTGAAAATTTTAATAAAATTCTTAGCAACTATATTCAATTATTTTCATAATTAATAAAATTCATCGCAGGATTTTAATTATTTTTAATACGATTCTACAGGAATTGCTTACAAAATATAATTATTCTTACAAAATTACTTTCAAACCCTCGAAAAAAAAGAAAAAAAATTTAAAAAATTGTTCGAAAGAAATCAATTGTTTTAAATACAATTTTAATTAAATTTTTTTGAAATATTATTCTTTTAGATTTTAATAAAATTCTTTCCAAAATTCAATTATTTTTATAAATAATAAACATTTCACAGGAATTCGACTATTTACAAATTTTTTTATAAATTTTTTCGCAATAATTCAATTATTTTCATAAATAATAAATTTTTTAACAAAAATTCAATTATTTTCATGAATAATAAAATTCATCATATAGAATTTCAATTATTTTTTAATACAATTGAATCTGAATTCCTCGAAAAATGTAATTCTTCTTGGAAATTTTATAAAAATTTGTCGAAAAAATTCGATTATTTAAAAATTTGTTAATAAAATTCTTTATGAGAATTCAATTTTGAAAAAAATTCATTTATTCAATAATTTTTTCATTTTTATATTTAAATAGGTAATTGAATTTTCGTAGAATTTTCTAATAAAAATTATTTTAAAAATGAATTTCATATAAAAAATTAAAAATAATTGATAATTTATTTCTTTTGAAGAATTTTAATAAAATTTTTTAAATTAATTACATCTTTCGAAGAATTTACTTAAAATTGTATTAAAAATAATTTAAATCCTGAGAATAATTTTATTATTTATGAAAAAAATTGAATAATTGCTAAGAATTTTATTAAAATTTTCAAAAATAATTGTATTCCTGAGAAGAATTTTATTATTTATCAAAATAATTGAATTATTGCGAAAAATTTTATTAAAATGTTTAAAAAGAATTGAATTTCTGTGGAAAATTTTGTTATTTTTGAAAATAATTGAATTCTTGCAACGAATTTTATTATCTTCATATTTCTTTTAAGTTATTGAAATCCTGTGAAGAATTTTATTATTTATGAAAATCATTGATTTCTTTTGAGAAATTATATTGAAATAGTAGATTTTGAAAATATTTAATTTTCAGCGAAGAATTTCATTATATTTATGAAATGTAATTGAATTCTTGCAAAAAATGGTTGAAAATAATTAAATTTTTACGAGGAATTTATTTAAAATTGTATTAAAAATAATTTAAATCCTAGGAAAATTTTTATTATTTATGATAATAATTGAATTATTACAACGAATTTTATTACATTTTTTAAATAATTGAATTGATGTGTGAAAAATTGTATAACTTATAAAAATAATTGAATTCTTGTGAATGATTTTATTAGAATTTTTGTAAAAAATAATTTTTTTTTTAAATTTTATAGAAATTTAAATTATTATAAAAGTTATTGAATTTTAAAAGGTTACAAAGAAATAAGAATTAAATAAAAATAAAAATGGGAAAAAATAAAAAAACGAACAAAAGTAAGAAAAGGAAAAGAAAAGAAATAAGAAAAGAAGAAAAAATAAATAAAGAAAGATAAATACAAATAAATAAACAAGTAGAAAAATTAATAGGAGAAAATATATTAGAAAGTTCGGATAAAAATTTCTTACGTCGCCAAAAAATACTCTTCTCGATGCAATATTTTGTTTGCGTAGGATATAAAATTGTTTATTGAATTGATTTGCTCGTATAGAGTTATAAATTACTGTCAAATCGATTTATCTGGAAATTAATTATAATAATTCATTTCATATATATACAATATATGTATATAAATATAATTGCCGGGGTGATTTTATCATAAATTGATTACATAATTTATTGCAGGTGTAATTCTTTAATCATTAGATGCATTCAACCCATAAAATGAGTGTCTCGATGGCCACGTGCTGTCTCTCACGTGAGGCAAAAAGCGTGAAGAAAATTATAAAAAGAATAATTAACATTCGTATATTCATAAAGTTCATTTTTTTTACTCTCTTTTCGAATATTTAACTCGACGTAAATATACATTTATTTACATTTATCGTTATTGAAGTATTAAAAAAAAATTATGAGATGTAAATTGTTTTGTTTTTTATGTTTCATTCTATACTTATGATACTTTTATTATTTTATTTTTTAACTTTCATTTTAATTGTTTACTTTATTTTTTATTATTATATTATTAATTTTATTAATATATTATTTTTTTATTACTTTCCTTTTTTTCTTTTTATTATTTTTCTTTTTTTTTATTATTATTTTTCTTTTTTTCTTTTTATTATTTTTCTTTTTTTTCTTTTTTTTCTTTTTATTATTTTTATTATTACCTCCATAACATTTAAAAAAACAATTTTTTTTGAGATGCCTATAGTAAATAAATTTCCAAATAGAAATATAAATAAAAAAAAAGAAATAAGTAAAAAGTAAAATATTTAAATAAAGAATTTCAGTATTTGAAGAAAAAGACATTTTATTTAATTAAATAAATTAAAATAAATTTGAATAAAAATTATTTGTCTCAATTATTTAATTTAATTGGCTCAATGTTTATTAAATTATTTTTTAATATCTTTTCCTACCGAAAAGTAAATTTTTCAAAACTAAAATTCATATAAAAATAGGTTTCATACTCCAATTCTGTTGGCAATTTTTTTCTCACTTCAAAAACATATGTACAAAATTTCAGTTGTATACACATATATGTAATGATATATAATATTAACGGTTTATTTAAGATTTACTTAAGTAATAAAAACTTTTATTATCCACAAGAATGAACGCAGTCATTTTTTGAATAAATAAACCTGAATAAAATTTGAAACCAGGGCACTAGAATAAGAATAATATTCTTTTTTTTATACAATCAATAATATCGCAATAAATTATGTAAAATATTTTGGGAAAAAATGCAAAAAAGAGAATTACAAAATTTTTTTTCCAATAATAACGATTTATATTGTATCTTACCGTTAAAAAATACTTCATTTTTAAATTAAGTGATAAGAATAAAATTAACACCTCGCTTGACTTTAAAATAAAAGCATCTGGCGCTTTGAGAAAAATGAGGAAAAGGACTTGTAACGGTAAAAAAAATAGCAGGTGAATTTGATTCACCAGTTGACCAAATAATTACAAAAGCCCACGTAAACACATTAGTGACCCATTTTTTTTCTGTTTTACTTTTTAATTTCATGAAAAAATAAAAGAATCTACATTTTATTGTTAAAATTTCAAATAATTATTTTTTATTGGAAGTAATTTTTATTTTACTGATTCTTAAATTAATTAATATCCGTACTACAATAATATATTTACAATAATGTTTATAATCTTAGTTTATTTTTATTCTTTTTCTTTATTTTTTTTAGCGAAATCTTTTTAATGTTAGTTAATAATTAATATTAAACTATTGTTTTTTGTTAATAATCTGTAAATTTGAATTAGTAAAATTTTTTAATCATTTGAATTAGTGACTGACTTTTTGCTTTTGAGTTGGTAAATTTTACTCCTACTATTTTACTAAAATAATAAATTATACTCCTACTATTTTATTAAAATAATAAATTTTACTCCTACTATTTTACTAAAATATTAAATTTTACTCCTACTATTTAACTCCTACTATTTTACTAAAATAGTAAAATTTACATTCACTATAAATAATTTACTAATTAATTAATAAAAATTAGTAAATTTTACTCCTACTATTTTACTAAAATAGTAAATTTTACTCCTACTATTTTACTAAAATAGTAATAGTTATTAATTTATATTCACTATAAATAATTTACTAATTAATTAATAAAAATTAGTAAATTTCACTCCTACTATTTTACTAAAATAGTCAATTTTAGTCTTACTATTTTACTAAAACAGTCCATTTTACTCCTACTATTTTACTATAATAGTAAATTTTACTCCTACTACTTTACTAAAATAGTAATTTCTACTAATTTATTAGTAAAATTTACTAATTTAAAAGCAAATAATCAGTCAGTAATTCAAATTAGTAGAAATTTTTACTGATTATTAGTTAATATTTAATAATGTAAATTATTGTAAATAATAATAATAATAATAATAATATGTAATCGTATTATTTGCTTTTTTTATATCGATTATTATTATAATAATAATTATAAATTATAATAATAGTAAACATAATATAATAATAATATAGTTTTTATTATTTTCTTTTAACTATACACATAAATTATAATCCTCTTAGAATAGAGTAATTTGAGATTATAACGTGTAATATTATTTTAAAAGATATATAATTTTGTCAGGTTTATTATGGGATTTAAATCAAGTATAGCAAATCGTTAATCATTGCGCTTTTTGTATCGCGAACGTAAACGGATTATACAGACCGTTATATTCTTTGGAAAAAAAAGATGAAACAAATAAATAAGTATGCTAGTTAAATCCTAAATTAAACACAGATATCAATTTTTTCTTTCCAATGGGTAATCAATAACATTTTCATAAAACACGAAAAGTATGCAAATTTTTATTTATATCTATCTACATATGAATGTGTATTCTTCATTTTTTTTTCTCAATAAAAAAAAGAATATTAAATAAATATTTTTTATTTCGTTCTCATCAATAATATAATAGTGATTAAAAAAATTATTTTCTGCTTTAATTTGTATATGATCATTAACAAAATTATTTTACAACTATATATATTTAATTTTATCTTTTACTTAAATATTATTACTTTTTGTTCATTTCAACAATTTCTTCTCTCTAAATTTGAATTAGTCAGTGACTTTTTGCTTTTGAATTAATAATTCCTACTAATTTATTAGTAAAATTGACTAATTTCTACTAACTTGTTAGTAAAATTTACTAATTCCTACTAATTTGTTTGTAAATTTTACTAATTCCTACTAATTTGTTTGTAAATTTTACTAATTCCTACTAATTTAGTAGTAAAATGGACTAATCCTACTAATTTATTAGTAAAATTTACAAATTCCTACTAAATTATTAGTAAAGTTGACTAATTCCTACTAAATTATTAGTAAAGTTGACTAATTCAAATTTAGAGAGTTATCAATTATTATTTTTATTTATTATTCTAGTAATTATTGTAATATTATTATACTATTATTATTAGCATTATATTACCATTGCTATTAGGTATAATAATAATTACAGTAATTTAGTTTATTTAAAACAATAGTATCAATACAATTATTATTTTAATATAATTTTAATCAAATTTCTCGAAAAATGTGTTTATTCTTCAAAATTTTATTAAAATTCGTCGAAAGAATTCAATTATTTAAAAATTTGTTGATAAAATTCTTTATATGAAAATTTATTTTTAAGAAATATTCAATTATTCAACAAATTATTTATTTTTCTATTTAAATAATTGAATTCTCGTAGAATTTTTTAATAAAAATTTAGTTAAAAATTAATTTAAATTATCTTTAGAAGTAAGAAAATTCTTCTCCGAAATTCAATTATTTTCAGAAAAAATAAAATTCTTCGCAAAAAGTCAATTCTGTTCAGTAATTTTTAAAAATTCTTGTCAAAATTTTAATTATCTTTAGAAATAATAAAATTCTTCTCCGAAATTAAAGTATTTGAATAAAATTCATGTCAAAATTTCAAATGTTTTCAAAAATTTACCTCAATTCAATGATATTCAATAGCATAACTTACTATTTTAATAAAATTTTCAAAAAAATTCAATTATTTAAAAAAATTTTAATACAATTAAACCAAATTTTTATTAAAATTTGTCGAATGAATTCAATTATTTAAAAATTTATTGATAAAATTCTTTATGAGAATTGAATTTTATATTTGAATAATTCCATTCTAGTAGAATTTTTTTAAGAAAAATTGATTTAAAAATAAATTTTAGATTATAATTAAATATTAAAGGCATTATAGCGTGAATTTTTAGAAATAATTGAATTTTGAAAAGGTTCCAAATTAAAATCTTTGAAAATTTTAATTTTTCATACTTTTAACTAACAATTTTGTAGAAGAATTAATTTTTTTGAAAAAGTTTATTTGAATTTAACTTGAAATTATTTTTTTGAAGTTTTTATTTTCTAATATATACGTATTAAACTGAAGAATTTCCAAAGAATGGAAATTTTGTAAAATTAAATTGTAAACAATTAAATTTGAAAATTCTTGCAGAATTTTAGGATAAAAACACTAAAAAAATTGAATTTTAGAGAAGTTACAAATTATTGCAGACATTCAATTATTTTCAAGAGTAATAATATTCTTTGCAAAAATGAAAAATATTGTTCAATAATAATAAAATTCTTCTTGGAGATTCAATTATTTTCACAAATAATAAAACTCATCGCAGAATTTCAATTATTTTTAACACAATTTTAATCAAATTTCTCGAAAAGTGTAATTTTCTTAAAAATTTTATTAAAATTGGTCGAAAGAATTCAATTATTTAAAAATTTGTTGATTAAATTCTTTATGAGAATTGAATTTAAAAAAAAATTCAATTATTCAATGAATTATTTTTGTATTTAAATAATTGAATTGAATTTAAATAATTGAATTGAATTTATATAATTGAATTGAATGTAAATAATTGAATCGAATTTAAATAATTGAATTGAATTTAAATAATTGAATTGAATTTATATAATGGAATTGAATTTAAATAATTGAATTGAATTTAAATAATTGAATTAATTAATTATTTGAATAATTGAATTTCGAAAAAGTTTCAAATTAAAATTGAATTGTAAACAAATGGATTTGAAAATTGTCAAAGAACTTTTTCGAAAATTTTAAAAAATAATTGATTTAAAGAAGAATTTTAGTTGAAAATTTTTGAAAATAATAATTGAATTGAAATAATGAAAATAATTTCGAAGCAGTTACAGTAATAATATTCTTATAACAATGATAAAAAAATTATTATTATTTTATTATTTTTTATAATGATTTTATCACTCGCTCATCTTTAATTATTACAAAACATAAAGAAATCGATCACTCCGAGTCTTCGACTCGGAGCAATCGATATCTTCAAGTTTTACAATAAATTCTTATAAGTTAAATGTAAAATTTTTAAAAATTTAAATTAAAATTTTTTTAAATCAGGAAATTATATTATTTTTAATTACTATTATTATTATTATTATTATTATTATTATTATTATTATTATTATTATTATTATTATTATTATTATTATTATTATTATTTTATTATTATTAATATTAAAAATTGAAAAAATTATTACTCACTGTGCAAAAACCAGCAATAATGATCCTCCACATCGTGTGTAATCCAAATGATGGAAAAAATAAGAGAAAGAAGGAAATTTGTTCTTGATAACACTAGAATACACTTCCGATATTTGTCTATGTTATACCCCACGTGTGTAGCCTTGAATTAAAACGACAAGATCGTCAATTTTCAAAGGATGCAATTTTGACGAAGGCTTCAGATGGACTGAACCGGACCGAAGCAAAGGAGCAGGGAATCACCAGTCCATCCAGAATTTACTGTTAATGCATGCCCGATGCCTCTGCTAACAACCATATTCTTTACTTCGTTCTGAAACCGACGTCTACAAACAAATTGCTCTCATTTTTCTATTTTGCGAACAAACTTTTTTTTCCGATGGAAGAAAAAAGACAATTTTTTTTTCTCGACTTTTGGAGCGAAATATTTTCAGAGATTTCAACTCTCTCTGGATTTTTGTCTCCTATTTTTGTGTTGTTATCATAAAGTTCCGAAATTGTTCAAACGAATAAGGAAGTTCTCCAAATTCGAATTTTTATCGCAAAATGTATTTAAAATGTATTTAAAAAGTAGGTTCTAATTAATTTTGTTTTTTCGAACAAACAAAATTTAATTTAATTTTTTTCAAACGAACAGATTTCGTTCGTTTGAAAGTTTCAGAACTTTGTGGATCATTCTACAGACAGAATTTTTGTCGTATTTGATGACAATTTTCCAAATTTTTAAATTTCCAGTTCGCCACAATACTTGAATTCTTTTTGTCTCTAAGATTTTGTCAGAAAACTTCCTAAAATCATTTCATTCAAATGAAAACAAATACCTAAAAATCAACATTTTTATTTATTTCCATTTTCTAGGTTTTTTTTTACTAGGAAGAAAATTACTAAAATCCAAAAAACAAAAACGAAACTTCTACAAAAAAAAATAATTCCTTCAAGCGACATAGCGATTATTATGTTCCATATAATTCATCACATCTTTTACACCATTGTGTAAGGAAAATTTTAAAAACAAATTCTTTTCCTCTTCACGGTAAAGAAGGTTTGTCGAAACGCTATGCGATTCTGATATGTATAACTATATAAGCAGGGGAATGAGTTAAGCGGTTACTGACTTTTCAGAGAGCACCAATTGTCGCGGTTCAACTGATCTTATTTCTTCTAATATACAACTCAGGCGAAAAAAAAACAAAACTTTATCATTAATTATAAAATAATAAAAATTCTTATTGATTTCAAAACAAAAATTACTATTTTCCACTCGTCATAGGTTCATTGAAGAATAACGTAACGGTTTCTAGAAGGAATTTTTTTTTTTTTTGCATCAACCATTAATATAAATATATAGTGGAAAGAAAAAAAAATACGCAATGGGCTGCTTGTTAGTTTTCAGTAAATTATTTTTATTACTATTATAACTATAATGAAGATACCACACCGACCATTCATAAAGCTCATCAACATTTTGCTTTAATAAATTCAAAAAATCCTCTATATGTACAACGCTCAGTAAGCAAATTAATTTCCCCTGATGCAAAAGCATTATAATAATGCGGTGGATTATAACTGTTGTAATTAATTTATTCAAAGGTGAAAAAAAAAATTATTTGCGTCTTATTTTTTAATTTTATTTCCTAGTGGTTTTAGTATTTCCTATATAAGCCGAACTTGGAAAGGAAAATAAATAAAACTTTTTTACTTTTTTTTTTTTTTAAATATGAAGTGTTCCGAAAAAGGTATTAAAGCAGCAAATCATTCTATATAAGGTTCTGGTTTGTTATTACAATTTTCTGTATTTAATTTAAAACAAAAATCAGTTTTTATCAATTATTTATTAGATAATGAAGACTCGGGGCTCGAACTAGGTCCCTAAATCCCGTAAAGATCGGTAAATTTGCTTGAGGTCCGTAAAAGTCATTTTTTTAAAAAAAAAGGTCCGTAAAGTCTGTAATTTGATAGAAAAAGACCAGAAGTTCGTCAATTTTACAATATAATTTTGGAAATTTTGAAAAAGTTAGAAATTATTGCAAAAATTCAATTATTTTCAAAAGTAATAAAATTCTTCGCAGAAATTCAACTATGTTCAAAAATTTTTTAAATACTCGTCAAAATTTCAATTGCCTTTAGAAATAATAAAATTCTTTTGCAAAATTCAATTATATTCAAAAATTTTAATAAAATTCTTGGCGAAATTTCAATTATTTGCAAAAAATTTCCCTAAATTCAATGATATTCAATATCTACTATTTTAATCAAATTTTCCACAATAATTCAATTATTTAAAAAAAATTTTATTAAAATTCAACGCAAACGTTTAATTATTTTCATAAAATAATATAAAATTTCACAGGAATTCAATTATATATACAGACTTTTTTTACAAATTTCTTCACAAAAATTCAATTATTTTTATAAATAATAACATTTTTTCAGAAATTCAATTACTTTGGCAAAAAAAAATTCTATTTAGGAATTAAATTATTTTTAAAAAATTTTAATAAAATTCTACGTAAACATTTAATTATTTTCATGAAATAATAAAAATTCCATAGGAATTCAATTATTTACTAATTCTTTATAAATTTCTTCGCAATAATTCAATTATTTCTATAAATAATAAAATTTTTACAGAGATTCAATTATTTTCAAAAGTAATAAAATTCTTCTTAGAAATTCAATTCTGTTAAAATCTTTTTTTTAAATTCTCGTTCCAATTTTAATTATCTTTAGAAATAATAAAATTCTTCTCCAAAATTAAATTATTTTCAAAAATTCTAATAAAATTCCTGTCAAAATTTCAATTATTTACAAAAATTTTCCTTAATTCAATGATTTTCAATATAAACCATTTTAAAATAAAATTTTCCAAAAGAATTCAATTATTTAAAAAAATTTTAATATAATTCTACGTAAACACTTAATTATTTTCATAAAATAAGAAAAATTCCATAGGAATTCAATTATTTACAAATTTTTTTATAAATTCCTTAACAATAATTTAATTATTTTCATAAATAATAAAAATTTCACAGGGATTCAATTATTTTGGTAAATAATAAAATTCTTTTTAGGAATTCAATTATTTTCAAAAGTAAAATAATTCTTCCCAGAAATTCAATTCTGTTCAGAATTCTTTAAAAATTCTCGTCCCAATGTCAATTATCTTTAAAAATAAAAAATTCTTCTCCGAAATTCAATTATTTTCAAAAATTTTAATAAAATTCTTGACAAAAGTTGAATTATTTTCAAAAATTTTCCTCAAATTCAATGATTTTCATTATCAACTGACTATTATAATAAAATTTTCCAAAAGAATTCAATTATTTAAAAATTTTTTTATTAAAATTCTATGTAAATTTGAATATTTTCAAAAATAATAAAATTAAAAATGTAATTTAAAAATTTTATCAAAATTCCTCGAATGAATTCAATTATTTAAAAAGTTGATAAAATTCTTTATGAGAATTGAATTTTATATTTAAATAAATTATTTTTGTATTTAAATAATTGAATTCTCGTTGATTTTTCTAATAAAAATTGAATGAAAATGAAAAATGAAAAATTGAAAATGAATTTCAGTTAAAATTTTATATTAAAATAGAATATTAAAACCAATATAGCGAGAATTTTTATAAATCCTAATTGAATGTTCAAAAGATTTCTATTTAAAATATTTGAAAATTTTAATTTTTCATATTTTTAACTAATAATTCTGTTAAAGAATTAATTTTTTTTGAAAAAGTTTATTTAAATTTTACTTGAAATAATTTTATTGAAGTTTTTATTTTCTAATATATATTAAACTGAAGAATTTTCGAAGAATGGAAATTTTATAAAATTGAATTGTAAACAAATAAATTTGAAAATTCTCAAAAAACTTTTTAAAAAATTATTAAAAATAATGGACTAACTGGAAAATTTTAGTTAAAAACAGTAAAAAAAACTGAATTTTTGAGAAGTTACAAATTATTGCAGAAATTCAATTATTTTCAAGAGCAATCAAATTTTTCGTAGAAATTTAATTATGTTCAAAAATAATAAAATTCTTCTTTGGGATTAAAATATTTTTACAATTAATAAAACTCATCGCAGAATTTCAATTATTTTTAATAGAATTTTAATTATTTCGCAGAATTTCAATTTATTTTAATATAATTTTAATCAAATTTCTCGAAACATGTAAATTTCTCTTAAAAATTTTAATAGAATTCGTCAAAAGAATTCAATTATTTAAAAATTTGTTGATAAAAAATTCTTTCAATATAATTGAATTTTTAAAAACATTCAATTATTCAATAAATTATTTTTGTATTAAAATAATTGAATTCTCGTTGAATTTTCTAATAAAAATTGATTTAAAAATGAATTTTGGTTAAAATTTTAGATAATAATCCGTAATTTTTAAATACTTCCACTGGTTCGAGCCCTGAAGACTCGTTTTTTTTTCATTCCAAAAATTACATAATTTTTTGGTACTTTTCTTCGGAGCAAGTCGCAAATTATAACGACAGTTGTAATTTTAGTGGCGTTTTAAATTAGAGCTCAGATTTCTGAAAATAAGTTCCCGTTGCTTATTTTTTTTACGAAATATCGACTTTGTTTAACAAGTTGACAGCAGCGTAAGATGTCTTTATAACCTGTCAATTGTTCAATAACGCTTTCTGTTAATAATTTAATAATAATTACCATACATTAAACTGAAAAAAAAATTTATTTGATTCAAATAACCGATTAATTGACTATTATCAATTAAATATTTACTTGAATCAAATAATATTTATTGGAGTCAATTAAATGGTATTTGAATCATTACTTTCAATATTTGAAGCAAATATGAATTGAACCATTTAATTAAATAATAAATATTATTTGATTCAATTAAATATTTAATTGATAATAGTCGATTATTTGATTCAATTAAATATTTAATTGAAAATAGTCGATTAATTGATTATTTGAATCAAATAATTTTTTTTTCAGTGTATTATAATTTTTATGTAAAATGAAGATAAAAATAATTTTTACCCATCCGAAAGTTTGAAGATTAAGAGTACACAAGCTCTTGAAAGAAATTGAGGATCCTCTCTCAGCTGTCAATAGCATTAATGACAAATTTCTCCGATTGGAATAATTCGATTGCACCCAATTGCTACAATAAACAGCCGCTGAAACATCCTTGCTCTATTTTGAATTTTCAAAATTTTTTTTCAATTTTCAAAACTAAAATTAAAAATTTTCCTACATTCAATTTTAATATCTTCTACGCACTAAGATAACATTTATTCTCCTTTACCTTTTCATCAATTAAACAACCGTACCAGCAGTACAAAAATATTTGCGACAGCACACACGTTACGTATTGTATCAGCATGATAAATTGAAACCAGTTCCCATTCAGTAAGCTTTCCTGCTGCAAATAAAGAATAAAATTTTTTTTTTTTCAATTACTTCGCCCCTATACATAAAGGAAATAATACGCACAAGGAAATAGTTTTCATACCTGTGCCATTTGAAAAATTATCGTACAAAATGTCAAGAGACTAAGAAGAAAGAATGGCAATATCGCAACCATAAAAAATGATTCAATTTCCTTGACAATTCTCAAAACTAAAACATGATGATTCACGTATTCTTTAATTTTTTCCTTTGTAATGCCAATTTGTTGCTCCGACGAATTTTCTAATCTATACGCACATAATTCAAATTGTCCAATTGTTATTAACATAAATCCATAGACTGTCGTGTCAAGTGTTACATTTATAATAATCGAGAATGAATTCAATAGCGACTCAAAAGCATAAGTTATCGTGAAAATAATCGGCGACGATACATCAAATGGATAATAGAGATTGAATGGCAATTCTATTTTCTCCTTCCAATTCAAAAGTGGCGTCAATGCTATCGATATACCACAAAATGTAAAAATTGTAATAATAAACTTAAAAATTGCTTGCGATTTCCTAAAGTATTTATCAACAATTGCCTTCTCTTCATTCGACAATGGTTTAAATAAACGATCACGAAATTCATTTAAAATTCCTCTCATGTCACTTTTTCTTGTTATAAAATTAACAACCTTCCAACAGAATATAATGAATGTGAGTGAGGGATAAATTTCAACAAAATGCTCAAGACTTTCGCAAGTGCGAAAAAATTGTACAATTTCCAATAGTGTGAAACAATGAATCAATAGTAATACTATTATTCTATAGCATTTTCTCTCGAGTGTTGATTTAACATTGTCTTCCCAAAGACCGCAGAGCCACAAGGAAGTGAATTGACTTGGTAAAATGTCCATAATGCTAAAAGAGAGAGAAAATACCAAGAAAAGGGTACCATTTAAGTCGTGTGCATACTGTCGATTTATCGATATTTATGCGCTCTTTCATTATATTCGCTACCACTGAAAATTTCATCAAAATGCAACATGTAATCATAGTAGTGAAGTAAAGGGAGGTAAAAGGATACATTTCCTGGTTTGGCTAATTTTGAACTTCTTGCGCACTACAATTTAAATAGAGGGCTTCTATATGTATTGACAATAGATGAAACCTGCAAGAGAGGGTTTTGAAAATGAATTCATTACTATATTGTAGGGTATAATTATTGTATGAGGGACTATAGTTCTGTGACACAACATGTGTTATTAAGAGTTAACTTCTGCTATGTTGTACTACACGACAATAGGAATAGAGAGGAGAAATTCGCTCTGTCCTGTTTTTTTCTTCAAAGTTTTCCTTTTTTTTCTAAATTCTCTACTCGACATGTTTCTTCTTCGTAGGGTAGTTAAAATGTAATTGTAAATTAACATTGTCGTTAATTTAATTTTCTCCTTTCGAACTTGCTTGTTTCATCAAATTCACGGCAGCGTAAGAGGTTTTAACAACCTGAACAAGAATTTTCATTATTTTATAAATATAAATTTGTAGAATTTATAAATAAAATAAAATTTATAAATATAAATTAATAAGTAAATAAACTAGAAACTTGAAACTAGTTCATTTCATACCCAACTAAACGTGTCTTGATTCAAAGTGCACAAACTACGGAATGAAATTGGACTTCCTTCTTCGGCAATGAGTAACATTAGGAATAAACTTTTTCTATCCGAAATATTTAAATTCAGCCAATTACTGTTGTATATTGCAGTGGATATTTCTTTACTCTTGAAAATAATATTAATTAGTAATATTAGAAAAAAAGAAAAAAAAATCTTTGTTACCTAACGTTATATTTATTTAATACTAGCAACAATTCGCGCGCGGCTAACTTCTTGTACTCACTTTTCTAAATAAAATTAGCAATTTTAAAAAGAATTGAATGTAAAAATTTACCTAAATACAAATTTTTTTTCATAAAAAATAAAATATGAATTGGAATATAGATTTAATATTATTACAACTATTATAATTGTGTAAGGCTCAGTTCCTACTAGAACTCTGGTAATTTTCAGATGATTAGAATTATTAAATTTGGAAGAAATAAATTTTTATTTTCGTTTTTACAAAATTATGATTGTCTGATGGCGTACGGGTGGACCTGCTACTACTTAAAAATTAAAATAAAATTCTCTATTCTTAAGGATTGTGTAGGGCTTAATCCCTACTAGAACTCTGGTAAGTTTCAGATGATTAGAATTATTAAATTTGGAAGAAATAAATTTTTATTTTCGTTTTTACCAAATTTTGATTGTCTGATGGCGTTCGGGTGAGGGTGCTAGTACTTAAAAATTAAAATAAAATTCTCTATTCTTTAGGATTGTGTAGGGCTCAGTCCCTACTAAGACTCTGGTAATTTTCAGAAAATTAAAATTATTAAATTTGGAAGAAATAAATTTTTATATTCGTTTTTAACAAATTATGATTGTCTGATGGCGTACGGGTGGACCTGCTACTACTTAAAAATTAAAATAAAATTCTCTATTCTTAAGGATTGTGTAGGGCTTAATCCCTACTAGAACTCTGGTAAGTTTCAGATGATTAGAATTATTAAATTTGGAAGAAATAAATTTTTATTTTCGTTTTTACCAAATTTTGATTGTCTGATGGCGTTCGGGTGAGAGTGCTAGTACTTAAAAATTAAAATAAAATTCTCTATTCTTTAGGATTGTGTAGGGCTCAGTCCCTACTAAGACTCTGGTAATTTTCAGAAAATTAAAATTATTAAATTTGGAAGAAATAAATTTTTATATTCGTTTTTAACAAATTATGATTGTCTGATGACGTACGCGTGGACCTGCTACTACTAAAAAATTAAAATAAAATTCACTATTCTTTAGGATTGTGTAGGGCTCAGTCCCTACTAGAAGTCTGGTAATTTTCAGATGATTAGAATTATTAAATTTGGAAGAAATAAATTTTTATTTTCGTTTTTACCAAATTATGATTGTCTGATGGCGTACGGGAGGACCTGCTACTACTTAAAAATTAAAATAAAATTCTCTATTTTTAAGGATTGTGTAGGGCTCAGTCCCTACTAGAAGTCTGGTAATTTTCAGATGATTAGAATTATTAAATTTGGAAGAAATAAATTTTTATTTTCGTTTTTACCAAATTTTGATTGTCTGATGGCGTTTGGGTGAGGGTGCTAGTACTTAAAAATTAAAATAAAATTCTCTATTCTTTAGGATTGTGTAGGGCTCAGTCCCTACTAGAAGTCTGGTAATTTTTAGATGATTAGAATTATTAAATTTGGAAGAAAATAATTTTTATTTTCGTTTTTACCAAATTATGATTGTCTGATGACGTACGGGTGGACCTGCTACTAATAAAAAATTAAAATAAAATTGTCTATTCTTAAGGATTGTGTAGGGCTTAATCCCTACTAGAACTCTGGTAATTTTCAGATGATTAGAATTATTAAATTTGGAAGAAATAAATTTTTATTTTCGTTTTTACCAAATTATGATTGTCTGATGGCGTACGAGAGGACCTGCTACTACTTAAAAATTAAAATAAAATTCTCTATTTTTAAGGATTATGTAGGGCTCAGTCCCTACTAGAAGTCTGGTAATTTTCAGATGATTAGAATTATTAAATTTGGAAGAAATAAATTTCTATTTTCGTTTTTACCAAATTTTGATTGTCTGATGACGTACGGGTGGACCTGCTACTACTAAAAAATTAAAATAAAATTCTCTATTCTTAAGGATTGTGTAGGGCTCAGTCCCTACTAGAAATCTAGTAATTTTCAGATGATTAGAATTATTAAATTTGGAAGAAATAAATTTCTATTTTCGTTTTTACCAAATTTTGATTGTCTGATGACGTACGGGTGGACCTGCTACTACTAAAAAATTAAAATAAAATTCTCTATTCTTAAGGATTGTGTAGGGCTCAGTCCCTACTAGAAATCTAGTAATTTTCAGATGATTAGAATTATTAAATTTGGAAGAAATAAATTTTTATTTTCGTTTTTACCAAATTTTGATTGTCTGATGACGTACGGGTGGACCTGCTACTACTAAAAAATTTAAATAAAATTCTCTATTCTTAAGGATTGTGTAGGGCTCAGTCCCTACTAGAAATCTAGTAATTTTCAGATGATTAGAATTATTAAATTTGGAAGAAATAAATTTTTATTTTCGTTTTTACCAAATTTTGATTGTCTGATGACGTACGGGTGGACCTGCTACTACTAAAAAATTAAAATAAAATTCTCGATTCTTAAGGATTGTGTAGGGCTCAGTCCCTACTAGAAGTCTGGTAATTTTCAGATGATTAGAATTATTAAATTTGGAAGAAATAAATTTTTATTTTCGTTTTTACCAAATTTTGATTGTCTGAAGACGTACGGGTGGACCTGCTACTACTAAAAAATTAAAATAAAATTCTCTATTCTTTAGGATTGTGTAGGGCTCAGTCCCTACTAAGACTCTGGTAATTTTCAGATGATTAGAATTATTAAATTTGGAAGAAATAAATTTTTATTTTCGTTTTTACCAAATTTTGAATGTCTGATGGCGTTTGGGTGAGGGTGCTAGTACTTAAAAATTAAAATAAAATTCTCTATTCTTAAGGATTGTGTAGGGCTCAGTCCCTACTAGAAATCTAGTAATTTTCAGATGATTAGAATTATTAAATTTGGAAGAAATAAATTTTTATTTTCGTTTTTACCAAATTTTGAATGTCTGATGGCGTTTGGGTGAGGGTGCTAGTACTTAAAAATTAAAATAAAATTTTCTATTCTTTAGGATTGTGTAGGGCTCAGTCCCTACTAAGACTCTGGTAATTTTCAGAAAATTAAAATTATTAAATTTGGAAGAAATAAATTTTTATTTTCGTTTTTAACAAATTATGATTGTCTGATGACGTACGGGTGGACCTGCTACTACTAAAAAATTAAAATAAAATTCTCTATTCTTAAGGATTGTGTAGGGCTCAGTCCCTACTAGAAGTCTGGTAATTTTCAGATGATTAGAATTATTAAATTTGGAAGAAATAAATTTTTATTTTCGTTTTTACCAAATTTTGATTGTCTGATGGCGTTCGGGTGAGGGTGCTAGTACTTAAAAATTAAAATAAAATTCTCTATTCTTTAGGATTGTGTAGGGCTCAGTCCCTACTAAGACTCTGGTAATTTTCAGATGATTAAAATTATTAAATTTGGAAGAAATAAATTTTTATTTTCGTTTTTACCAAATTTTGATTGTCTGATGACGTACGGGTGGACCTGCTACTACTAAAAAATTAAAATAAAATTCTCTATTCTAAAGGATTGTGTAGGGCTTATTCCCTACTAGAAGTCTGGTAATTTTCAGATGATTAGAATTATTAAATTTGGAAGAAATAAATTTCTATTTTCGTTTTTACCAAATTTTGAGTGTCTGATGACGTACGGGTGGACCTGCTACTACTAAAAAATTAAAATAAAATTCTCTATTCTTAAGGATTGTGTAGGGCTCAGTCCCTACTAGAAATCTAGTAATTTTCAGATGATTAGAATTATTAAATTTGGAAGAAATAAATTTTTATTTTCGTTTTTACCAAATTTTGAATGTCTGATGGCGTTTGGGTGAGGGTGCTAGTACTTAAAAATTAAAATAAAATTCTCTATTCTTAAGGATTGTGTAGGGCTCAGTCCCTACTAGAAATCTAGTAATTTTCAGATGATTAGAATTATTAAATTTGGAAGAAATAAATTTTTATTTTCGTTTTTACCAAATTCTGATTGTCTGATGGCGTACGGGTGGACCTGCTACTACTAAAAAATTAAAATAAAATTCTCTATTCTTAAGGATTGTGTAGGGCTCAGTCCCTACTAGAAATCTAGTAATTTTCAGATGATTAGAATTATTAA